TCAAATACAAATGGGTTATTCACAAACAATTAAATAATCAGCCTTTAAATTATACATTTTAACGAAAAATTGCTTTATTTTCTAATGGTTATAATTAAGGAAAATATGTATAAAACAAATAAACATAGTATTTTCAAAATTCAAAGCTAACTAAAACAAGTAAAAACGTTTCAGTCGGTATAAACCGATTGAATTATACCCTGCACCTTTCGTTATTGTGTAGCAATTACTCTAACCTGTGAAACCATTCTATAGAAACTTCACGGACATGTCTGACCCATAATTGGACATCCGACTGCCAAGTTTCATCAATCTGACCTTATAATTTTTCAAAATATTTAAAATTAGCTTTTGGAGTTGTATGGTAAGTACCTAAACCTGTCAAGCAATTCCATCAAAACTTCACAAATATATCTGATCTATAATCGGACATCCAACTGCCAAGTTTCATGAATCTGACTTTATTATTTTTCCAAATATTAAGAATAAGCTTTTAGACTTGTATGGGATCTACTCGAACCTGTTAAGCAATTCCACCACAACTTCAGAAATATGTCTGACCCATAATTGGACACATGACTGCCAAGTTTCATGAATCTGACTTTATTATTTTTCCAAATATTAAGAATAAGCTTTTAGACTTGTATGGGAGCTACTCTAACCTGTCAAGCAATCGCACCAAAACTTTAGAAATATGTCTCACCCATAATTGGACATACGACTGCCAAGTCTCATGAATTTGACTTTATTATTTTTCCAAATATTTAAAATAAGCTTTTGGGGTTGTATGGCAAGTACCCGAACCTGTCAAGCAATTCCACTAAAACTTCACAAATATATCTGATCTATAATCGGACACACAACTGCCAAGTTTCATGAATCTGACTTTATTATTTTTCCAAATATTTAAAATTAGCTTATGGAGTTGTATGGCAGGTACCCGAACCTGTCAAGCTATTCCTCCAAAACTTCAGAAATATATTTGACCTATAATTGGACACATGACTGCCAAGTTCCATGAATCTGACTTTATTATTTTGCCGAATATAAAAAATTTGCTGTTGGAGTTGTATGGCAGCCACCCGAACCGGTGCAGCTATCCCATTATAATTTTTAGAGCATGTGTAGAATATAATTGGACACATGTATACTAAATTTTATATTTAAAGCTTTATTAGTTTTTGAAATATTTAAAATAAACTCTTGGAGTTGTATGGCAGCTACCCGAACCCGTTGTCCGACTTAGTCCAATAACAATAGGGTTCGTCCTTGGCACAAAAGAAAAAACTTGTGAAAGTTTGGTGTCGATTGCATTATTCGTTTTTGAGTTATCGTGCGATCGGACGGACGGACGGACGGACGGACGGACGGACGGACGGACGGACGGACGGACGGACGGACGGACGGACGGACGGACGGACGGACGGACGGACGGACATGTCTAAATCGACGCAGAATTTTACGCTGAGCAAGAATATATATATATGTCCATACCGCAGATGACTCCTTCAAGTAGTTACAAACTCCATACCAAAGTTAATATACCCTTCACGAAGTGCAGGGTATAAAAACAGTCCTGTTTAGATTAGTATGTACGTACACAGGCATGTAAACATACATATCCATACGCATATGTATATGTATATAAATATATGTATTATATAAATACATACTTATTTTTTGGAAGGGCGGAGGGGAAAATTGAATCCCAGATTTTGTATAATCAATAAGTGATTTCGAATCTAGGTCGTGTAACAAATAAAAATTATTTCATGACAATTCCTTTTTAGTTACGAAAGTCAAACTACAGACAGAAAGTATATATACCTTGAATGTAAACATATAATTTTTATATACATATGCACACAAACCGTACAAAAGTATAAAGTTATATGTTGATGTTTACGTAAAGCAACATTTTTCTTTATATTATACATATATACATACAACCATATTATTGACATGCCATATACCATTATATTGATGTTAGCATGTCCTAACTAAAATTTTAGAAAAATTCAACAATATTGTTTCCCTTTCAAAGTATCATATTAAAGGAAATAATTTCTTTTTCAATTAACTTACAAAAGTCCCTTTTGTACTTGAGGAATTTGAAAAAAGCTTGCATGCACTATACATATATACATGTATATTATGTATATACATGCATATTATGTATAGTACATACAAGTATGTATATGTACAATGTTTACGTGTATAACATAACTTTTATAGTTAAAAAATTCTTTTAATCGTTTCACAAAGAAACCCAGATAAACCAATGCCGCAGCTATGTTTGCATATTTCCATTCCTAAATTCAAGAAGTTTCATTTCGATTTGCAAGTTGAAATTTTACCAAATATACACATACCTAGATCTATATATTTTTCTTAATTATCTTACATGTACATATATACAAATACAGGGTGTCTCGTAACGAAGTGCACTGCTATATGCCATTGTATTGGCCCTCATGTGTATACAAAACTGTTGTATAGAGATAATGTTCATAGCTCAACAGGTTCGGAGTTACAGGGGCTTAAAGTAAATTTCGACCGATTTTTTTACTTTTTGAAATTTTGGATATAAAAGGTTCTTCGGATATTGAAAAAATTAAAAAAAAATTAAATAAATGTTCCTTCTTTTATATACAAATGAGTATGCATTTGTAGTAAATAAAAATTTATACTATAGACACGTGTTTTTTTTAATATTTTCCAAAATGTGATCAAACTACTATTGAAGTTGTATTGCTGCTAAAAGAAAGAACCAAGCAACTTCAACGACTGTTATCAAACACATCGGCCCTACCTACGTATTTACTTGTGCGAAATTTCAATGTCACAGCATTCTTAGTTACTGAGATATAACCAAATTAATTTTGAAATTGTATGGCAGATGTCCGAACAGTCACATCCAATTTAAATAAGGTTCTGGCATTTACTATTATAAATCATTTGTGAAAATTTGGTGAATTTAGCTCAATTAGTCTTTGAGTTATCGTTGGAACGGACGAACGAGCGGATAGACAGACAAAGATAAATCGACTCAGAATTCGACGCTGATCAAAAACATACACTTGAGTCTATATTTAGACCTTTATTTCTTAACGTTACAAACGGTAAGGCAAATTTAGTATACCGTTCGAACTTACTTTCGTACGGGTATGAAAACTACGACAGTCTATTCACCAACTGTATTGTAAAAAAATTTTAAAAACTGACTACATGAACTAATTTAGTTACCAAATATTTTAAAATCTTAAGACATTAAATCTGACACAAAAGTGCTAAATAAATTTGTTTAGCCTGGTCAAATGTCTTTATTGATTAACCTTTCCAACACTGTTTTGATATTTAGCCATTTTGATCTTACTAAATTATATAAATTTTTTGTTCTACAATATGGATCGCAGATACAACATAGTACTATTTTAGTGCTGTATTTTGGATGTGCGGGAATGTTTATACATGTTCATGTACCTACTATGTACATATGTAAATATTTGAGGACGTAACCTAATGCACGACTATGTATGTATATGTATACAAACATATTAAAAAACATATTATCTTATTACATACTAGAATTGCATATTAAAATTTTGTTACCTTACAGAAAACCGATTCAAAATTTTAACATTTTATGTATGTATGAGTGCATTAGATAAAGCTATAAATTTACTTTATTTCAATTTTCCTTATAAAATTTTCATTTTCAATAACAAATTTCCAATTATTATTATGTAAAATTTACTTTAGTTTACGTAACTAGGCTCTGTATTTATTTTGAAATTTGTATGCATATATGTACATACCTATGAATACTTTCACATTATGTAGTATATATACATATACTTATGTAAAAATATTGTTAATAAATTAAAAATTGACATTTTTATTTTAAGTAAATTTTTATGACTTTTATATTATGTCAAAATTCAGTTATACAAATGTGATTGAAAATTATTAATTTTTCTTAGAGCAAAGTAAATTTTTTTAACTATTTTGACTACATATAGTATTTAAGCAAGATTTTCCAGATTTTAAAGTATATGCATAAATACACACGTATTATTACACGTGGTATAATATTAAATACTTTGAAAAACTTTAAAAGAGAAACAGTGGCGAAATTTCTCGCAAAAAACAAAAAAAATTCTCATTTAAAAAAAAAATAAATCAGACGGAAAACTTAAAAAGACTTTTAAAAACTTTATAAATATGTATGTGATAAACGTCAAATTCCAAAGTATTTATCAAATATAAACAAACATTTTTTGGGTAATACCAAAATTCAAAAATTTTAATTTTGGATTATAAATATGTGAAAATTAGAAAAAACCATTTGTGAACCCATTTTTTATTGTGAACATATTTTATTTTTAATTGAAAATTTTAGAAAAAAAGTTATTATTGATGGAAATTTTTTTCTTCAAAAATAAAACCTTCTGAAAATCAAGAAAAACATATGTTTCGACAGCTGTAAGATTTTAAAAGTTTTTAAAACACTAAATTTTACTTTACAGAACTTGAAAAAACTTAAAACATTGAGCTAATGAGAATGTCATGATTTTCTTACATTTTCATTCAAAAAGTATTATCCCAGATATTTTGCATAAAACTTGCAACCTATTTTCTTTTTACGCTGCTTTATGTGAAGAGTCAACCTTTAATATTATTTCATTAAGGACAAAAATAAAAATAATTCTACCCATTGACGTCAGAATTCATTAAAAAAATTCATTCATATGTACATACATATATCTTATTAATTAATATAAATTTTAATATGTATGTATGTACAAATTTTTTATGTTGTATACACAAATTTTAAAAAGTTATTTATAAAGGTATTATAAAAAACTATAAAATACCTATATTAATAACTTATTTCAAAGAAAACCTTATTAAGAACTATAACAAAAATATTTCTTTTTTTTTTTTAATTTTTTTTAAATTTTGCTATGATTTCTTGTTATTGGACACTGTTTTAATAGATAAGAAATCAAACGCCCCCAAGACCACAGTTTGTCGCACAACCAATCCGGCCAAATCCGCCACCCAGCAATCTACAGAGCACTCCTGCTATAAATCAAATCAGACCACAATTACCAAATCCCCAAATAAGTACAAACGGGCAGTCACCAAGGCCAGCTCCACCACAGCAATTACGTAGAGCTGATAGTAAAGGTAATATAATAATGAGTGTACCGAGTCAACCACCGCAGCCTAGACCACAAGCACAATCAATTAACATGAATGCTAATCGGCCTCCAGCGTCTATAAATCAAATGCTCAGTAGCGGGGTTCCACCAAGACCCCAAATACCACTTAATCCTCAACAGCAAAATCAAATGAGGCCAACTATGCAATTAGGTGGCCAGCAACAAAATCCACAAACACGTCCACCATATCCATCAGGTAGTGGTGGTCCAAGATTACCAGGTCAACATCCAGTTACGGCACCAAATCAACCACCATACAGGCCACCAACAACATTCCAACAACAACAGCAACAACAGCAGCAACAACCATATCAACAACAACAGCATCAACAACAACCTAAAGTAATGCCAACTTTAACAAGGGGTGATTCAAATGCTAGTATGAACTTTGATCCAGTGAAAAATCAAATGAACGTAACTAACAGCAAAATAACATATCAAATAAATGAAGGGGAAGATAACTCGGTCACCATGACAAAAGTTATAACACCAGTCAACAATATGGTCACTTTGAAGCAATATGCACCAAGTTCCCCAGAAGATACACCTCGTGAAAAAAAAGATTCAGAAAAAATTGTTACTCCAGTTGAAGAACCACCAAAAGTTATTCAACAGAAAACATATACGGAATTAAAAAAAAAAAGTAAATATTCGTCTTTTATTAGTAAAGTACATTTACATTACTTATTAAAACTTTTTTTAATAATCGTCAAAATTTAAATAAATATTATTTAGGGATTACCGTTGAGAAGCCATAAAATTTTCATACTAAATTATTTGCAATTTTTACATACATATGTTTTTTGATAAATGCTTTCTTTTTTCAATTTGTAGAGGGAGACAACGATAGTGGAGTTGATGAATCAACTCAAGAAAAGGTTAGTAGATCTAATTTAAATTTTAAAAATTTTTTACTTAAGAATAAATTTTACCACCTGCGTGTATTGCGTTTTGTCAATGAATGCTGCTCATAAAATTTTTGTTTAAATAACCGCGTCGTTTTGAATTGTTTCGTAATACTCGTAAATGAAATCGTGTGTGTTTTAATAGTCCATTTTCATTTAAAACACTGCGACCATATCAAAAACAGTATATAAAAGATTATCACAAAAATTTACTTAATATTTGATTATTCATTTTTATTTAAGAATAAAATAATACGTATTTCATTATTTATACTACATTATAATTACCTCGAAATTTAATTTAAAAAAAAATTTATTTTAATTATGAATAATAATATAGTATAAATTTCACCGCACAAATATTATTTATATTGTGAAAACCACTTGCTTTCCACTTAAAAATTTCTTTCTGGTAAACAATAAATTTTGACTTATCTGCCTTAAAGTATTGCTTTGACATTGATTTCGCGATCAATTATTTATTTTACAAACCTACAAAAAGAAACAAACCTTCGCTTTCAAACTGTAAAAAAATCAGATTCGTCTTCAAACAACTCTTAAAATTTATTAAAATTTAATAAAATTTCTTTTAAAAGCTGCAGTATAGAAAGTTTTCAAAGTTCTTGTACACTTAACGTTGTCAAAACGTAAGTGTCGAGACTTATTTTTTAGTAAATGAGTTATCTGACATCCATTCCTTTATTTCATTTCTATGAAATAAAAGAATGTAGCAAACGTTTTATATAAGATTGCTTTTTGTATTTTTTATTTATGAAGTAAAGCATTCTCAGCGACATTTAATGAAGTACATACTTTTTACTTTTAAATATATACTTTTAATGCAAAATATGTAATATGCTACTTTCTAAAGTTTAAATCCTTTTTCGCAATATAGAATTCGGCTAAAAATTTGATATGAGATTGATCGCTATTTGCGGTTTAAATTGAAGTGAATACTAATATTCAGATATTCTCAATAAATACCAGATTAAACTACTCTGGAAACTTCACAAGAGTTTGGACCATAGCCTTTTGTCTGAAAATATACAAATTCAAAACAAACTTGAAGTACTATTGAAAACTGCCCCTTTTATTTAGAAGTCTTTCATTTTTCTCATTTTCCCTTAGATTAGAAACTCACTGAAGAAATTCAGCAGACTGCTCCACTGAAAAATAAAATGAAAGCAATCTGAAACAACCGCCTGAAATTTTAATTTGCTCCAATAATAAATAAAAATTACTTCATTTATATGGTGGATAGAGTAATTGGCTTGGAATTTCAATCTGATAAGCAATATACATACATTAATTAAACTTTTTTTTTTTTTTTCCTTTTCAAACTCCTGTTGAGGAGCATAGGGCTTCGATTAAACCTCTCCATCTCTCTCTATTTTGGGCGATAGATCTTATTTGTGCCCAAGTTTTCTCTGCTGCTGTTATTTCTTTATCTATCGTTCTACGCCACGTGTTCTTAGGCCTACCGATGCTTCGCCTACCCTGGGGATTCCATTCCAATGCTTGTTTGGCTATGCACTGCTCTGGCCTCCTCAATATGTGGCCTATCCATCTATATTTCTTTTTTCTGACTTCTATTTCTATCGGGTTCTGCTTGCACAGGTCCCATAGGTCACTATTTCTAATTCTATTGGGCCAGAATATTCGACAGATGATGCGGAGGCACTTATTTGTGAAAACCTGCATTTTATTAATGTCTTTCTTGTTAATGAGCCAGGTTTCACTGCCGTATAGCATTACTGATTTGACGCAAGCGTTGAAGATCCTCAGCTTAACATTCCTAGAAAGTTGCGTGGACTTCCAGATCTTCAATAGTCTAGCAAATGCCGCCCTAGCTTTCTTGAGCTTGTCTTCAATGTCAGCGCCTGCCCCGCCATCTGAACTTATAATGCTCCCCAGGTATGTCACGGAATTCACATCTTCTATTATTTCGCCATCAATTTCAATTTCTTGATGATTTGTTGTGTTTATTCTGATGGTCTTTGTTTTCCGCGTGTTTATGTGTAGGCCGACTTCCATTGCGCACTCTTTCAGTTTGTTTAGTTTTTGCTTCATGTTTTCGTATGTGTGTGCAAGTAGGCATACATCATCCGCATACTCCAAATCATCCAAGGTGTTGAAGATGTTCCAGCCGATTCCATTTCTTATAACATTTGTTTTCCTCATGATTTCGTCTATCACTATATTGAAGAGGACTGGCGACAGGGGACAGCCTTGCCTAACTCCCTTCGTTGTTGTTATTGGTTCACTTAGCCTTCTCTTGTGGAGAATCTGGGTCTCTGCGTTTTCATACATTGCTTTGATAACTTTGATTATCTTGTTAGGGATTCCCCTCAGCTCCAGAGCTCTCCATATGGCGCTTCTATTTATGGCGTCGAAAGCTGTCTTGAAGTCCACGAAGGCTATATAGAGTGGCGAGTTGAATTCTTTAGACTGTTCCACAATTATTCTTATTGTGTTAATGTGCTCAGTACAACTTCTTCCTTCTCTGAAGCCTGCCTGTTCTTTTCTTAGTCGACTTTCTATGTGATCCTTAATTCTTGAGTGTAGGATGATGGCTAGTATCTTAATAACGGCATTGAGTAGTGTAATGCCTCTCCAGTTGCTACAGTTGGTAGGATCACCCTTTTTCGGAAGTTTCACAATGATACCCTTCTTCCATTCTTTACATATGTTTTCAGTTTCCCAAATTCTCCCTATTATGGGCTGTAGTGCTCTAGCACACTGTAAGGGATCCGCTTTCATTAATTCAGCTCTTACATTAATTAAACTAATTTGTCATTTTCCATTTTCAATCTTTCAATCCGCGTATATGAAGACCATTTTGAAGTCATGTTATCGGATCGACTTGATTGAAAATAGCGTTTAAAATGTCTAGGTAATGAAAACGATCTATCGAAATAATTCTCCTATTATCATTTAATTTTGCATAACTTTAAAAAAAAGGTTGCAGCAATAATTTTCGATGAGAAAAATATTTCAATAATAGTTTATGCCAATATAATTTAGTTAAGACGTAAAGGTAAAGGTACACTTTTGCACAAGAAGACGATTACTCTTATACTTTTGCTCAGACGTTCATTAGAGTGTTAACCACTAAAATCAAACATAAAATTAAAGTTCTTATAATACGTCGGAGTCGCAGTATATGAAAAAGCTTTTTTAAAAATTACTCAAAAATCTATTTTTAAAACGTTATATTGTTTTTAATTTTATATGATAAAATATGATATACATATGTATATTTGTAGATATATGCATTCATATATAGATTTCGTAAGACAAACTGCTTTCGGTTTGCTCTTTATTGCATATGCCTTTACTTAGATCTGTTTACGTAAAATATTCAATCCTTATGTATTTTAATGGGAACATTTTTGCAAAATTCCTTTGGAATGTGTTAAAAAATGTGAAATTTTGATTTCTGAACAGAATGTAAACCAAAAAAAAACTAGTGGGAAACTGCTTTCTTGTGAAAAAAGGTAAAAATTCTTTACTTATCAATTTGCTTTTTATGTATATAGTGACATCAAAGAATTTATTTAAGAACATCCTACCCTTTTTATCAACTTTTTTTTTGTAAAATGCAAACCAAATATTCTTATTTTATTCTTATAGAATATTTGGAAAAATGTTGAAATAATGCATGTACATATGTAGCTGAAAGACCTAGTTAATTTAAATTTTAGAGAGTTTTAAGTTCTGTTTAAGTAGTGGTTAAAGTGTTTTTCAGGAATTTTTTTTAAAGAAAACTTGAAATAAAAATAGAAAATAAAGTTAATCTTTCAGTATCACTTCACTGATAAAAGTACTTTCAGAAAATAAAAGAATGTTTTAAAAAAATGCCTGTCGGACCTATTACATATTCGCATTCATATGTAAGATATCTGTGTGCACTGTTGCCCCCGCTATACAAATCTACAATCTACAAGATATCTGTGTACACATGAGTATTATTAATCTACATCTTAGATTATCTACTGATTGAAAAGAAACTTTTTTCATTATTCAAAAAGAAAAAAATCTGATTTGTATAAAAATTTATTAGTAAAGTCGAATTTCTAATAAATTTTATTATTATATCTAAATACAAGTGTGTATGTATATTAACAGCAAAAATTGACACAAAGATACGTCAAGCATGCGGAGACAGTTATTTTAAATTAAAAAAAATTCTCATTTTCATTTAAATATTGTACATTGTTTTATACATTTTGGTACACACCAATAAATAAATCTACCCGAAATCTATTGAATAAATCAAAATTATGTATTATGTTCTATAATTGTACATTGTATTTGGATAAAAAAGATAAATAAGAATAAAAATAAGAATAAAAAATAATAATGAATATTTTAAACAAAAGAATCAATCATAAAAATTTTTTCTCTACTTAAAAATTTGTTATGTAGTCATTTTTTATTGGTTTTACATGCCTACTACACTTTTAAAGGCAGGAAATTTAAATATGTACAGTCGTTGATATATTTATAATATTTAAAATATATAAAAGCATAATACACAATACGCGAAAACAAACAATAACTCGCGATAGGACATATAATTCGCTAAAAGGTGACTCTTTCCGTAAGACCATGTGACATAGTGTAGTTTTTGATTTGACAAAAAAATATATACATATAACATTGAAAATTAACTTAATATGTAAAAAATGCGAATAGCAATTTAAATCAATTCTTAATTTTCAATGAAATTAAAAATTAACTAACAAGCTTTGTCATATATTAAAATAAAATATAGTATGTAAAACATTTTATGATTTTATACACATGTATGTATGTTTACAAACCTTTTTATAACTGCATATTATTTTTGGTAAAAAAATTTTCTACTTTTAGATTTTAGTCCGTCAAAAAAATAGCAGACGTGAAGAATGAATTACTTCAAGAAATGTTTTGATTTAGAATTGAGCTACCGAAGTACGAAAAAATTTTCGGCGATTTATTCTGGGCGTTTCGATTTGTTTTTCAATTTTGTATTGAACGTTATTGTACTTTCATATGAATAGTCAATTTATTAAATTTTAAGCTATAAATTCCAAAACAAGTGTTGTGTTATTTGGTAATTTTTCCAATCAATTTTATAAAAAGAAAGTCATATACATATATACATAAGTATACGTACTTAAAGAATTCTAAATTTATTTTTTTATGCTTGAAAGAATTGATTAGTTTATAAAATATTGAAGAAACAAAAAAGTTATAGGTATGACATTTTTCTTTCCTCTTTTACATCGAAAAACAAAAATTTTTAATTGAGAAAAGTTGGGTTAATTATACATTTATAATATAGAATGCGTTTATATAAAGAAACGTTCACGTATACAAAGTTAAGCTTAAAACTAAAGCGCGCCATAAAAAAATGTATTATGATATATGTAAGCTATGTCGCTTTTTAACAAATTGCTTTTCTTAAAGTTATTTTGCTTTTATAAATAGTAGAATCTACTTTAGAAATAAAAGATCTGGTTCAATACTTTATAATTTTTAAAGTTGTTCACTAAAAGTATATAGTTGGAAACCGACTTTTGTAGAAAATCTCGGCTAATTAAATACCCACATAATGTTCATATGTGGATAGTTTAAAATATTTAATAAAGTAATGTCTAATTCAGAATATCTTAAAAGTAACTGTGCCAACTTGACTTTCCCACGATATTTAATGAAAAACTAAAAGTAAAAATGAAATTTATATCATAGACTGAAAATTTTTATACAAATACATTGCTTTTTTTATATTTTCGTACCTCATTTTTTGAAATATATTTTAGCAAGTAATTCAGTTGGAAGTTAACTATATTTCACCTCAGCGGAAATTTTGCTTTTTCTTTCATAATTTTATTTTTCTTGGTTTATTTTTTATTTGAATTTTCTTATTTATCTGACGACCGATAATTCAACGACGTCGCGTAGCTGCTCTAAAAAAACAACCCTTGGAAGGTCTTTTAACCTTAAAATAACGTAAAAAAATAAACTGAACATACATGCAATTTGAATTTGTACAACAATTATACATATATGTATATATAATATCCAAAAATAATAAAAATAATAGTAGTACCTCAAAAAATAAATAAAAGCAAAATTAAGCGCAACTGTTAAATAACGCGAAAAAGAAATAAAATAAAAGAACCAAAAGAGTACAAACAATCTTACACAAGTTAAATAAAAAATAACCCGATTTTTACGTTGCCGCCGCTTCTTTTATTTTTCCTAAAATCGATAAAAAAATACACAAAATACCATGAAAACTATACTAGACAGAGAAAAATTTATTGTGAATTTGTAGCCATTGCGAAATATACAAAAAAAATAATTGAATTGTTATAATCAAATGACGATGTCATCCTTTAGGATATAAAATTAAACTCTTAAATTGCTCGAATATAAAAAAAAAAATTAAAATAAATTGAACTACCGTTTTTGAAAATTTTTTAATTTCGGTTAACATAGCCACAAAAAAAAACACAAAAGTGAAAAAAGAGAACATTTTGTTAAAATAGAAAAAAAAAGCATAAAGATACAATTTAAGGATAGTAAAACAACAATTAAAAAATGGTTCAAAAAATAAAAGTAATATACACATTTTTTTAAAAATTGATTTACAAATTAATCGCATGTAATCAAAATTAATTAAAACGTAATTTTGTTATGTTGGCGAATTATAGTTAGTGTGAATGCCACTTGTATATGAAACATAAAGATATATTATCTGCTATTTTTAATACTTTTTACTTGTTTTTAACTTGCTAAAAGTATAATTTTAATTTTACACGTTATATTTAGGATCGTAATGGACCTGGTTCACCTAATTCACCAGTCAAATCACCAACAAAGCCACAATCTGGATTATCAAGACCACCAAGTGCAACACCATCAAACAAATCTAGAAGTGCATCTAGATCACGTCTTTTGGCTAAAACTCCAGAACCAGAACCAGTCAAAAAAGGTAAAATTGTTTTTTTTTCATATACATATAACTTTTTTTCGTTTAATTTTGGAATTTTTTTACTTGGCTTAAATTTAAATACTACGTGATTTATGCGTAAAATGATAATTTTAAATTTTTAGCGAAGATTCTTCAAGAATTTTTTAAAATTAAAAATGACTTTAACAAACATGCATACATACATATGTACATATGTACATGCATGCTTCAAGTTTTATTTAATCTGATTCTGAGAGTTTGAGTTTTAGGGTATTTCGTGCTTTAAAAACTCATTGATTCAAGTTTTGGGAATTCTACAAAATTGGAAAAGGGCAACAATACCTTATTTTTTTTTGGCTTATTTGTGTAAATGCCATTTTTAAAGCGATATCATCAACAGTTATATTCAACATTAAATATTGTGTTCAATAAACAAATTAAACTCGCCAATTATAATTACATCATCTTATATCGAATCGAATCTGTTTCAATATGAAAAAAAAGTAAAATACATAAATTAAACAACTTCGGCTAGCAATTGATTCTTTCAAATAGAGATTAACAAATTCTAATAATTTCATTTGCACAAGTTGTGTTACGTGTATATAATTTGACCTTTTTGTGGCATTTGCTTAAGAGCATAAATATTTTTTTAAGATATTTAATACAGTTTTAAAAAATTAAACTTAGTCCTTTAGTTCGTATTGGAATCTTAATTTTTTTGGCTACTTTACAGTATTACATATAAATTAGCCTTATTTCGTGAATATTTGAATCATGTATAACTTAAATCAGAGCTGATTCAAAAATCGAAATAACTTAATCTACCCATGAAAATTTATGTTTATATGCAATGTCCAATAGAATTGCATAAAAAACTATGAGAGATCAAACTGGCAGTCAACTCTATAAAAGCCAACGGAATTCTATTTTCAAAGCATTGCAACGTTCAAATTCCCAAACTTTTTAAGTAATCGATTCTAAATACGAATTGGAAAGTGATCGTATTAATTAAATTTAAAGCGATTACAAATATTTCAGAATTAAATATTAATAGTTAAATTAATATTTATATTAATTTATTAATATAAATATTTCAGAATTTCTGAATGCATGTGTCAAACCAATGGTTTTTACATTTTTCAAATATTGCATACATTTCCAATGAGCAAGGTATACAATATTTGAAACAAAACGAAAATTTAAAGAGGCATTAACATAATGCTCGAATTTAACTTTCTGTATTTATACAAATTTTGGAAAGCTTGCAGTTTCGGTTCCAAAAACTCAATTTTTACAAATTTCGATAGGCGAGAAGGGTTGTTGGTGGAAAAGAATATTCTTCTAAAGAAATAAACTATTTGTTAATATCTAAAAGATACTAAAATTTCGATAGATAAAATAGACGAGAGGGGTTGGAGGTGGAAAAAATATTCTTCTAAAGAAATAAACTATTTGTTAATATCTAAAATATACTAAAATTTCAGACTCTTACAACTTCTAAACTGAAAAATTTGGAAACCATTTATATGAAAACAGAAATAAAGTTAAGTTGCACTTGAAAATCCATTTTTGATAATCCGTTTTTGTTCTTAGAAAATTTCGTTTTTGTTTCGGGTCTTCTTAATATTCTTTTTTTAACATTTAGAAATCTTATTTATTCTTGATCCATTCTAACATCTCGTTATTGACTTATAAACATTTGTTGGAAATTTTGGAAAATTCAACAAAAAAAAAATAAAACTTGTTGAAAAATTAATATATTTATTGTGAACATACTTTCTTAACGAATCAGTTATTATATCTTTGAAGGAAAAGATCAGGTATTCTAACCTTCATTTTGATACCAAAAGTATTTAAAAAATCTTAGGGATCGCGTCATATTTGCGTAGTGAAAACCTAATTTTTTTATCCATAGTTATGTACGATTTTAATTTACATCTATTGAGACATTTTACTTACAATCTTTGACTTCCAAAAACCATAAACTCCTATAATGTAAAAGACGTCTTAATATTTTTGCGTATGTGTGTAACCAAAGTTTTTTGTTCAGAAAAAAACAGTTAATTATTTGTTCAGTTTTATTTTTTAGTACACATACATATAAATTTCGTACGGGAAGACTATATCGCTGAGCGGCAAAATAATTTTATTTGTTGTTTAAAATTTAATTTTAATTTAGTGAATAATTATAATGATTTTTTTGTGTTATTAAAAAAAATGAAGATTTATAATTTATATTAATTAATTTTGGTCTTTTGTTCATAATATTTAATATTATATAATAATAAACAACAAAGAAATTCGAGGAAACACAAAGGCAAGAACTACAAATTATTAAAATTCAATTTTTGAGTCTTAAAAAAATCTTTTAGTATTTTTTTTATTACAAATATTATTTTATTTGCTCGGGTACTTATTCCAAAAATTTTAAATACAAAAAAAAATTTTTTGGACAAAGGTTTGTTAGAAGCAAATTAAATAAAGTTGGATCAAACCAATGATTTGTATTGTAGCACTTTTGCCTTCAACAAATGAAAATACTGCTAATACAGTCTATGTATACTTACCACACCATTAAATTTATTTTCATTCATAAACGAAACTATTTCTAGGATTGCATATATTTAGAATGAACGATTTATGCAGTCTTTGAAATAAAGCAAAAATTAATTTAAAGAGGGGTTAACATAATGCTCGATTTTATCGGTTAATTGCGTGAGATAAGAAAAATAATTATATTTTTTAATGTCATTAATTTAAGGAGGGGTTAACATAATGTTCGATTTTAACGGTTAATTGCGTGAGTTAAGAAAAATAATTATATTTTTTAATGCCATGGAATTTACCGTTAGCTTTTTGCGTTTATAGAAATTTCAAAAAGCTTGCGCTTTCGGAAATATAAGGCGTCAAAAACTCAAATTTTACAAATTTCAAGAGGCGATAAGTTGAGAGGGGGTGGAGATAGAGAATAACTTTCTTTTAACGAAATGAAATATTTATTAGTATCTAAAAGCTACTAAAATTCAGGTTCCTACAACGGACGGACGGATGGACGAACAGAGTGAAACTAATAAGCACTTTTTTTTTTCAAAAAATTTTTGGAAAAGCGCTAAAAACAAAGTATTATATGTACATATGTATGTGTACATACAATGCATCGGTTTAAAAAGCTTTTCGTTGTGGTAAATCTGTATTGAGACGGTATTTAAACCGTATTAAAACTTTTTATACTGTATTTTTGATCAAAATATATATAAGTGACAACTTTTAAATAATAATTAAAACTAAATAAACTTTAGTAAGTTTTTTTTGTTTACGCAGTCTACAAATTCAGAAACTTCTAATCAGTCGTTCAAAAATACATTGTTTATGAAATGGTGTCCCAATACTTTTCGCCTCCCAATTCGCTGCAAAATAAGGAAATTTTAACAAGATTTAAAGACTTAAAGAACACTTATTTTAATAATCCTTCAATATCTGAATCTGCCATTCTGAAATTTAAAATTTTTTTGAATTTTAAATTTAAAAAAAAAAACAAATTTCATGAGGCAGAATTTAAACTAGAGGTTTGCGGTACATTTCTGACATTTTTTTTATTACAAATTGAATTTCTGAATGCACTTTATTACAGCCAGTTAATTCCAAACGACCTATATTTTCAGTTTATGTAGCGTGAATTTTCGAACGTTTTACAAGCTAAAACTAATCTAGAACTGAATAAACGTGTTGCCCTTATTTTATATTGTTTTTATATTTCGCATTGAATCAAGTTTTTTATCAAATTAAATGATTTGCAGTAGAATATTTTTTTTTAACGTATCATATTTAATTCATATTTTTTAATAAAATAAAACTTTATTTTCACTTGTTTTGATCTACATTATATAAACTTTTACATTATTAATTTTTGCTTTAGTTTTAGCCATGTAAGCTTTTATTTAATAAGTCATATAGTTTTGTTGCAAAATTTTGGATTAACAATTTTTTAATTCTTAAATTTAACATGTTGATATAGGAAAATTTAAAAAAAACCTAATATATGACATGTATTGTAAACTTATATACTAAACTTACATACTAAATCTTACAACTAACTTATAATCTAAATTATTATTAAATTTAAACTTTTATTTGTAAATTTTTTAATTAGAAATACTAAGTACATCATTCACAAATTATGTTATCCGGTTTTGGCAACTTATGTTTAATACGAAATGAGTTATTAATATATATATTGTTGCCTAAACCTAATATTATTCTGTTGAAAGAATTTCTTAAATTATTATAAAAGGGCATCGTTAATTTAGAAATAAATTGAACAACGGTCGGTAAAGCAGCTATGTGGTGCAAAGCTTCAATTTCAGAAATATATGGCAAATTTAATGCCATTCGCAAACATTTGTTTTGTATTACTTGTATCTTTTTTTTGTGCATTTCAGCACAATTTGACCACGCTGAACAAGCATATGTCAATAAAGAACGAACATAACTTTTATATATTTTTATTTGTTCTCGGAGCTTACACTGTTATGCTTTATCATTAGAGGATATAACATTCTTAAAGCAGTGTTGGCTTTTTGTATATTGTAAATTACATTATGCGAAAAAGTCAACTTTGAATCTAGGTACACTCCTAAATATTTAATTTTTTCCTGCCAAGGAATAGTAATATTGTCGATAACTAACCTGTAATTATCACAAAGATGCCTTGCTATAGGAGAATGTGTAAAAAGCCCAGCCACAGTTTTAGAATTATTTGTTTTAATTTTCCATTTTTGAAAAAACCTTTTCAAGTTTTTAAGTTCTTTTTCAAGAATACTTTTAAGTTTTTCCGTTGAATGATTATGCATGGACGTAATAAGAGCCGTGTCATCAGCGTATATTGCAAACTGACACCTGGAAGAAACAGTAATGTCGTTTATAAAAAAATTAAATAAGTGAATGGAAAGTGTTGAGCCCTGAGGGACTCCAGCAGGTATTGGAAGCTCTATTGACTTCTCATTATCTATTATGACATAAAAGGAACGATTTGATAGGAATGAGGCTATAATTTTAAGCAGATCTAAGGGTAATTTTATCTTTTTTACCCAAAAATATAAAGTTATGAACCCGAACTATTTGATGAAATCAACATTTTAACACATTATATCTAACTTAAAATTGATCTAACATAACGTGAAATATTTTTTAATAATTTCTCTATATTACTAATTTGTGCAAAACAATATAATCAAAAATATTTCAAAAGAAATTATATATTTACACACATTTTTTTTTGTGGTACAAGTACGAATGTGAAAGGTATAAAACATATTTTTAGAATTCAATAAATCGTGAGGAATTCGTACGCAAGTTTAATTTGTGGTTACATACAACCTACAAAATTATGATATATAGCAACCTTTTGATATTTGTAGACTAATGACTCATCAAAAATCTCTATTGATTCAAAACATCTCGAAAAAAAAAGCTTAAATTAGAATATTTTCTTTATTTTGTCAAAAACGCAAAACAAATGTTTCATAATAATTATTATTTAAAGGCATTAAAGATATAATTTGGTAATAACTATAATAAGCATGTATTGTAGTATAAGGATTCGATATATAAAGATCGTAAAATCAAAACCCTTTAAAAAAAATCAATTTAAAAAAATTAAACTATAGTGATAAGGTTTTATTGCTCTTGTGAAAATACCAATTTTCCTATCATAAAAATGTTGCTATAAATCCAGTTATTTCACTAAAAAAAACAGATTAAAAACCCGTAGTAGGATCAGAGTAGTACATTTTTATATATGTATCAAAACCCTTTATTTGCAACACAAAAACTTTTTTGTAGCAAAATCCCTTGTTTGTTTAGATTGTAAGCAATTACTTGCATATAGTTGCAACAAAATCCCGCATTTGGATTTTTAAGTTACGTTTTTTGTTCAAAATGTTGTCTTGTTTACCTTTGACATTTGTTTACAAAAATGCTTAAGCTCATTTTTTTCAGGAGCATATAAATAATATAATTTGAAATATGAATGCTGAACTACTTACAAAGCGGTTTTTCTAGTATCCTCATTATATACATTTCAAAGTTTGAAACGGAACAAGTGTTCAAATTGTTTGATTTCCACATCAATGTTTCAAATATATTATTGACATTCGCATTAATTTATTACGTATGATAGTAGTTTGTTATGAAAAATTATATAACTTATTATTTAGCCCACAAAGTACAAGTACATATATACAGTTACTCAAAGTGAAAATGATCTAACCTTGAATATGAAGGCCTTAGTAAGCCGAACAACGTACCCAAACAAGCATATTGCATAATCTTCACAATTTATGTCTTATTTAAATTGAAAACGACTCTACATTGTATGTAAGTGTAACTTAAAATGATTTTTGTTAAATACTTAGTTAGTGGATCTGAAAAAACAAATCAGAAAAATACCAATATAAATGCATTTGCAACTATATTGAACAATTTATAAGTCACATGTATCTAATATATAAAGGAACTTAATTAAATTAACTAGTTTGAAAATTCAATTTTTGTGAAAATGCTTTTGAATATTTGTATAAAATTAAATATCTTTATAAATTAATTACAGTACCCATGAATAAAATTAAAGTTGGTTATGCTCCATCACCAGATTTAAAATCAGTTCGATCAAAGATCGGTTCTTTGGATAATTCATCATATAGACCAGGAGGTGGGCAAGTAAAAATTGAAACAAAAAAAGTTGAAATCAAAGCAGCTCCAAGGATTGAAGCGAAAAATGAAAAATATACACCAAAAGGTGGAGATAAGAAGGTAATAGACAATCCAAAAAATTCAAAGGAAACAAACAAGTTTTTTAAAATTTTTAAATTTCTCTTTTGCTTTGAAAATTTAAAAAAATTTTAACGATTTTATACATACATACATCTATATATTTTATTTTCATTCCAATTATTCAAAGTTCATAATATATACATATATTATATATGAATAATTTATTATCATACACTTCTGTACTGCATAATTTGATTTATATACATATTAAAAATTACTTAAGTAGCATAAAATTCAATTTCTACTGTACGTATAATGTAGGAAAACTTAACGAACAATTTTTCAATACTGCAATTTTTTTTAATGCAAAAAATTGTACAAAAGAATAACAACAAGTAAATTAAGCACCCATTTTCCACTCACTGAATAGAAAAAATAATTCTGTCAATTTTTCAATTAAAAATATACTTAAAAAAAATTATAACTTCCACACAAGTAGTTCAAATTTTATTATAAAACAGTTACATACATATATTTTGTTTTAAAATTTTAATCTATGTCTGTAATTTGGTTTCAAATTTGGGCAAACACATTTTTATATTATATAATTTATTTTCTTCTATATAAAATATATATTTTATTTGTATTTGGTCGGTGTAAAATAGATAATTTAGTTGTAAATATTTATCCAAAATTAATTTTAAGCATTAAAATCGTTACTTTATACCAAAATTCAACTCAATGAACCCATCAAATAAGCGAACGAACAAAAAAGCATTTATACCAACAAAAATAATACTTGTCTGTATGCAATGTGTATGTATTTTTCTGTATTGATCCTTACCAATTGATGTTTCATCAAATATTTTGCATTCCCCTGAATTGAAAATTTTACATTTAAAATTATAATATACATACAATACAAATTTCAATTGTGAGACAAAGCTATATAATAACAAAACAAAACAAAATCTAAAAAAATTGTAGATAGTAACAACAAAATTAAACTGGAATGCAAAATCAAAAATTGGGTCATTGGAAAATGCAAGTCACAAACCAGGAGGTGGTGATAAAAAAATTGAAACGTTGAAAACTGATTTCAAAGAAAAAGCGAAACCAAAAGTAGGATCTAAGGATAATGTTAAGCACATACCTGGTGGTGGTGATATTAAGGTAAATTTTTATTTTATTGCAAAGGAATTCCTGAAATTTAAACTGAAAAAAAATTATTATTTAATATGGATTTTGTTATTAATAGAGAATTGCTAATACAACGAACAAATGCATTAAATTTTTTTTTATTAACAAAAAATTACAACATTTACATTTCATATGCGCAAATTAACTATAGATTGGCTATCAAGACAAAATCAGTTCAATCCGATACACATACATATACATACATTTATTTAATATTAATTTAAAATTACATATCTATACTTCCATATTTTTTAATTATTGAGTTAAATAGCTGTACTTATTTAAAAATATTTAAAAAATTTTATTAAGCCAGCATATGATTAAAGATAAATTTTAAAAAGTTCAAAAATAGTTTATCTAACTACAAGGAATAAAGTGTGCTTATACTTATAGTTAAAAATTTGTTGCAAAATTTAATATTTGAAACTGAATTTTCATTATTGAGAGAAGTAGATTTAATATCATATTTAAATATTTGACTTTAATTTGTTTTAAACTTTTCTAATTAATCTTTAATCAATTTTTTTAAATATGTACAATTTTTGATAAGCTTGCTTATAAAGAATTTTCCTAAATTGAAAAAAAAGACACATAAAATGTAAAACTATAAGTTGATTAAAAATACAATTGAGGGAATTTAACTTTATTTTAAAAAAGTTTGTAATGCTATTTTATGTTATTGTAACGCATGATTTTATTTTTCCTAAAACTTTTATAAAGCAATAAGTAAGTAATTATTGTTATTTTACATAATTTATTGTTACGAAATAGGAATACATATTCTAAAATTTAAAAAATGTAACTTTATTTCAATATTCATTTAAAAATATAATTTTATATTCATTTCAAATTCGAATGCGAAATCTGTAAAAAATTATTTGCAATCAATTTAGAAATATGTTAAGTTTGAATATTATTTCAAAATACATATTAACTATATTCAATTAAAATTCACTTCTACAAAACAAAGCAGATAATATGAATCTCTATTGTAAGAAAAATCTAAGACATGAAGATTAAGAAATCAAAGGTATGAACTAATGTCTTTATATCTAACAAGTCCCAATACTCAATTTTTTTTACGAAATGTTACGAATTTTTGGTCTCGTTGTTGGTTTTTTCTTTAAATGCCACTGATCGTGTCATATTTTTTATTATTTTTTTCTTTTTTTTACGTAAAAAAGAGATTAATATTTTAAAAAATCTCAGGATATTATACACATTTTTTAAAAAGCTTCCCATTTAAATTCTATTGCACGAAAAAGAAAGAAAGGTAGGAGGAAAGAAAAAATGAAAAAAAATTTCAAATTCATATTTCAGTATGGTTTCAAATGTTAATGAGGAAGGATGTATGATTTTTCATGCACATTTTGTATTTCCCAATAAGGTAAGTTGAGTAGTGTCGGCTAACAAAAATGTTAGTAAAAGTAATATAGGTTGACACATTTCAACAATTTGAAATATCTCATTTCGGTTATTTATACGTTACTTATAAAATTGTTTCAAATAATTTCAGTTAGTTTTTAAGTTATTATAAATAAATATGTATGTACCTACTACCAATAAATTTCTTTTAAATAATTATTTTAAAACTATTTCAAACATGTTATATTGAGTGCTTCAAAAATTTTGCTGTGTTCTTTTTTCATATTTTATTACCAGGTAAACAAGAGCAATCTATTTATAAAATGTCCCTGCATGTGTATGTATGACCTATCTTAATTCTAAACGGAAAAAATATTACATAAAGAATAAAAATTTTAAAATACCTGTTATTTTACAGTCGGAATTTTTGAGTCATTTGGTAAAATACCATTTATTTCAAAAATAGAAAAATATTCAAATCCGGTCATAAAAATATATGATCGTTTTTTCCAAACATTTTAAATATTTTTTTTTCTTAGGTAATCGATATAAATGACAGTAAGTTTTTAATATTTTTTCAAATAAAAATAGAGGTAAAATTTTGAAGTTTATATAAAATTTGTATTTAACAAATAATATTTGATTGTATTTTAGATATTATTTTCTAATTCCCTCTTCAAATTTTTTCTTTACTATGTATTTATATCAATATTTAAGAATTATCTTTCATTAATTATATTTTCAACTTGACACCACAGGTACTTCCCATATCTTGCGTTAACTTACCCTATGAGAAAAAAAAAGCTGTTCACTTAAAAATAATGAAATGCTTTCAGTAACAAATAAAACGTTGAAGGCGAAGGTTCTGTTTGTTGTTTTTCCGCTTTTTTTTAAATTTTAAAATAATTATCAATGAAAATATTAATATATTTTTTTGATTTTTCAAATATATGTTCTAAATTTTACCTGCTTTATAATAAGTGTGAATTTATTTTAATATTTCTTCTCAAAAAATAGCCACTTCGATTTAAAAAAGGCCATATAAAATAAGGTGTGCTTTCAAGTTTCTCTCTGAGCATTGGGACTTGTTAGATATAAAGACATTAGTATGAACGATTAAAGAAATGGGAGAATTTTTTGATAATTTCAAGTGATGTCAACGAAAAAAAGTTAATCTACGAGTATGTATTTTTTTTTTCATATTTAGAATATATACTCGTATAATGTAAGTTGAAGTTTGTAAATTGATTTACCTACAAATAAGTCGAGATAAAGTTTGTTACTCCAATAATGTATGTACTTGCTAAAACGTAGGTTTAGCTTGTGACTTAACAAACATTATGTGAAAGCAAATTTCTCATCTATATATACATACATAAATATACGTATGTATATATTCTAAAAGTAATAAATGTTTGTGGAAAAATTTGATATTAAACTTTTTAAAATATCAAGAAGAAAAGTATGTCAATTTATCTACCAAAGAATTTTCGTGAAAATAAAAAATGAATGACTTACCATCACTTTTCTAATGAACGGCATATTAGAAGAGCAATAGCTTAATTAAATAAGTTTATGTTTCTGAAACCGATTTGAATCAATTGATTTCTAATTGCAATTGATATTACAGATTTGAAAATATTTTTAAATGAAATTTTCAATGAAAATTTATGTACATTGCATGCAATAATTTAAATTCGTTGATGTTATCCAAGATAGATATGAAATTTTATTAATTAATTATTTTTTTTTAGTTATTTAATAAAATTAAGTTATAATTTCAACATTGTTAAAATTATAGTTACAATTTTTTATAACATAAATGTTTGTTATTTGATAATTTTACTTACATAAAACCTTTCCTTTCCTATTGCGACTTGAATTTATTGTTTATTTTAAACAACAAGTTTAACGAATAAAAATAACACCAATACAAATTTCATATTAGATTAAATAAAATTAGTTCCCATTCTTAAACCTTAAAACTGGTCAAATAATTAATTTAAAAAGCCAAGTAGCCGCGTTACCTTCGTCCGTGTTCAGTAGGCAGTCCTTGTTTGATTTGTATATCTGCATGCTTTCATGAACTTCTCTCCTGTGTTTTCCTTTTACCTCTTTTAATACCATTAAGTTATCTTCTGTGATTGTGTGATCCGTTATTGATGAACAGTAATATTCATTTTTATATAGAAAGAGACAATTGTTATATTTATAATAATTAATATTATGTATATACTGCTTTACTATAAAATAAGTGATATTCTTCGTTTACATGATGTTGATGATAAGTAGGTATCAATCACCCCCTTCAACTTCATGTACCATAGTTTTTCTAATTTAGAAGATGTAACACCTTTTGTTAAAATATCTGCTGGCATGTCAGTTGTTGGTTGATATTTTATAATTACATGTTCATTTAAAATCGTATTTCTTATAAAATGGTGACGTATGTCAATATGCTTATTTCTGTTGTTAATTATATTATTTACGGTAATCATTTTAGCGCTTTTGTTATCGTTTAAAATAATTGTAGGTTCAGCGATTTTGTAGTTCATTTCCTTTAACAACTCTCTTAAATAGATCGATTCTTTAGAAGCTTCGGTTAAAGATAAATATTCAGCCTGGGTACTGGATAGTGCCACAGTTTTTTGCTTTTTACTTTCCCAAGAAATAGGGCTACCAGACCATACGAAAATGTATCCCGTATAAGAGCGACGATCATCCAAGTTTGAGCCCCAGTCAGCATCTATAAAGCCCATTAGTTTGCTATAATTAAAAATATATTTTAAGCCGTAAGAAGCAGTGCCTTTGAGATATCTTAGGACTCTTTTGGCGGCTTGCCAATGAGCTCGCCCATAATTGGAATTAAATTGACTTAAAAAATTAACCACGTATGCAATATCTGGCCTAGATGTTGTTGCAAAATATAACAATGAGCCGATCAATTCCTGATTAGGAGTGTTTTCCATTTCATCTTTTTCCTTTTGATTTTTTGGGCACATAGACTTTGATAATTTAACATTATAATCCATTCCAAACTTCTTTAGCATTTTTTTGACAAATTTTCTTTATGTTATTGTAATATTACCTTGATCTTGATTGATTTCGATACCTAAAAAATGTTTTGCCAATCCCAGATATTTTATTTCAAAATTTTGTTCTAATATTGATTTGAACCATTTTACAGTATCTTCGTCTTGACTTGCTACTATTAAATCGTCCACATAAACATTTTCATTTTCGATTTTCTTTGACAATTTCTTCTTTGATATAATCATAATCATCATAAATATTATTTGGGATTACTTTTACACTTTCTCGTTCTGTACCACACTCATTTACCATTGCTACTTCTCTGCTTTTTTATTCCACAATCTATATGTTTTTGAATTTTCGTCGTAACCGACTAAATAATATGGTGAAGATCTGGTATCTAATTTTCCTTTATTAGGCGATTTATTCAGCACACATACTAGTGAACCAAAGGATTTAAAATAATAAACATTTGGATCCTTATTATGCCATAGTTTGTACGGTATTAAATTATTTAAACTTTCTGAAATACAACGATTACGAATGTAATTTGCAGTTGATAAAGTTTCTGCCCACAGGTATTTTGGTAGATTTGATTGAAATAATAAACATCGTGTCATTTCCAATAATGTTCTGTTTTTTCGCTCTGATATGCCATTTTGCTGTGGTGAGTATGTATCAGTTATTTCATGTTTTATACCATTTTGTTTCATAAAATTTGAGAAGCTGTGGTTGATATATTCGGTTCCGTTGTCCATTCGCAATATTTTAATTCTTTTACCAGTAAAACACTCAACTTTCGCTTTATAATTTTTAAAATTTGTAAATACTTCTGATTTATTTTTCATAAAGTATACTTCAGTCCATCTTGAGAAATCATCAGTAAATGTAACGAAGTATCGTGCTCCAACTAACGATGTTACATTGATTGGACCGCATACATCACTATGAACAAGTTGAAGTAGTTCTTTTTTCGAATTTTCTTTATTTAATGTTTTAAACGGTTGACGACACTGTTTTCCTTGCAGGCAAATTTCTCATTTTGGCAGATTTTTATTATTCAGTGAAATTGAATTTTCATTAATTCCAATTATTTCTTTATTCCTTATCATTTGTTGTAAGCTCTTGTAATTTAAATGGCCAAAACGATAATGCCATAGTTTTAAATTATTTGTTGTCTGACTAAAATTTGCATGTTCCAATGTATCAGTTGGTATTTCATATAAATTGTTTCTTCGTATAGCCTCAAAAATTAAATGATTTTTAAAATTGAAAATTTTTGCTTTATTACCACAAAATTTTACCTGCAATCCGTTGTTAGTAATTTTGCTTACCGAAATTAGATTTGTGCGTAATTTTGGGATGTACAAGACATCTTGTAATTTGATTTTTCCGCCATTCAAATAAATTATAATTGTACCTTTACCTTTGGCATCGGTGGTGCTTTCATTTGCCAAGTTCAACCTAAAATTCTCCAAGTTTTGTATATTAGTAAAAAGTTTTATATCATTTGACATGTAGGAAATAGCACCACTGTCCAAAATCCAAAGCAATGATTTATCGTTTTGATTTTTAATATTTAAACATAATTCCTCAACTAATGAACTTTTTTCGTTTTTGCAAAAATTATTTCTACACTCTGACGATTTATGACCATATCTTTTGCAGGTATAACACATGATCTTATGTCTTAGAGGCTTCTTAAATCTATTTTGAAAATTATATTTGCTTTTGTAGTTGTTTTGCTGAGCTATCAAAACTTCTGATGGTTGAGTAGATCGTGAATAGTATTCTTCCAGAATTTTTATTTTAAGTGCACCTGGCTTTGGCAACTCGTCCCGAGCTTCGATAGCTATCCTAAAATTTTCAAATTTGTCGGGTAAGCTATAAAGTAATAAAATCGACAGTCAACAGGTCATCGTCTATATTGATATCTATCGATTTTATTTTATTTACTATATCGAAGAAATCTGAAATATGTTGTTCAATATTGTCATCATTTGCTTTTGTTAATATTAATTTTTTCAATACAGCAGCTTTTCTTGTTGGAATTTTTGAATCAAACATTTGTTGTAACCTAACCCATAGTCATGTTGCACAATCTCTTACATCTTTCAATATTGGTGGACTTATGGCTAATAATATTTTTGCTTGAGCTTTTACGTCATTTTTATTCCATCTAGTTAATACTGCAAGTTCTTCTGGCTTTGCATTTACATTCCTTACGTATTCCCAAAAATCTTATTCAATTAAAAGCGATTCCATTTGGATTTTCCACGTGTCATAATTTTCATTGTTAAGCTGGTCGAATCTAAACATGGTGTTTTGTGCCATTTTTTTTTTTTGAAATATTATTCAAAAAATAATTATTACGAAGAATTTAATTTTAATTTGCAATTTTATAGTTGATTTATTCTAAAATTATCGTTGATCACCAAGATCTCAAACGATTTCTTTTTGTTTTCAAATTAACACGTTACTGATGAATTCCAATAAATTGAAAAGTTTTTAATAAGCAAACATGAAAGCCAAGATTTTATATTCAAATAATACTATATAGTTTCTAATTTATTTTCCTTATAAGTTCATGTTCACACAGACCTTTATTCAAGTAAAAATATATATGTATATTTATTTACTCAATAGATTACAAGCTATCTAGAAGACCACAGAATTTTTATTCTGGGCCCATAACCCATGTTAATTTAATATGTAATCATAATATATACATAAAATAGAGAAAGCATTATTCATATATTAATACAGAAATATTCATTTTTATATAGAAAGAGACAATTGTTATATTTATAATAATTAATATTATGTATATACTGCTTGAATATAAAATAAGTGATATTCTTCGTTTACATGATGTTGACGATAAGCAGGTATCAGTAATTATAATAATGGATTCGGTTGAGAAACGATTACTTAGAAAGTCACCTTGGAGATAACGTTAAAATTCCTTTTATCATTAAGTTAGTACAACTGTTTTCTGTACTCAAAACCGTTATACGTTATATTTTGTTTAGGAGTTTTTGTACTGTTTCCTACGGTTTTCATTGTATTTTATGTAAAGTAAAGTTTAAACAGTGAAACATTATTATTTAATTTTTATCATTCTTTAATTTTGTATTGGAAATGCGATATTATGTCGAGCCATTGAAATTTTTACATAACGATTATAGTTTAAAACGTACAAATTTGTGCAAATAAATATACTGTAGCTGTCTATGGGACAGACTAAGACTTTAAGTTGCCATACAACCATATGATTTAGTTTCAGTACTGTGTTTTCAAAATTTTCTAGAATATGGCCATACTACTAATGAAGTTGTATGCCAGCTAACACAAGGAGTCAAGAAATTTCAACAATTTTTATTATACAAATGTACTAATATATTCGCTTGTGTGCAATTTCAATATCATAGCTTATAATTCGGTTTTAACAGATCAGACCAAATAATATAATAAGTATGCGTTCGAGTTCTAGTCCAGATTTTTCAAATTTGCTGAAATATGTGTTTTTTATTCAATTAGAATGGATATTAATTCAAAGCAAAATATAATCTTGATTCTCATACAAACATATTTTAACAACTTAACACGATCTCTTACTCAGTTTTATTAAATTTACAGCACTAAGAATTACGGTTTCTCATTTTTACAATGAGTATAAAATAAGTATATACAATAAACATTAATCCTAAGCCAAAATAAAATATAAATAATTTGTACTGCAAAACCCAAATACTTTATGATATTGAAATGCTTGTTACAAAAAAATTATATAATCAAAAAAGGATTTCATATATCCAAGAACTTCTTCTTTAAGTTTGTTACAAAAACGAAATTGTTAATTGAACTCGTAATGATTTAAAAAAACAACATTTTATTGCTTTATTAACCATAATTTGCTTTACAATTTGCACATTAATAAAATTATATTAAAAAAAAAAAATCGAAATGTTTAATGTTCAAAATCTAAAAGTATTTGCAATAATTTTCTGTTTTTTAAACAATCTATAATATTGAGGACATTTCATGAATATTAAAATTATACACACCATAAACTATAGCTACATTACATCAATACATAAGCTATGAAGATACTTAAATTTTTAAGTTCCGTTTCTCAAATAAATGAAAAGTTCCGGTTTTAAATTGTTAACTTCTTCTTTTTTATTGTCATTTCTTACATATTTTGATTTATAGCCTTGGATTGTAGTCAAGAACTGGCTTAAATATAGACGAGTCTCTATATAGAATAATATAAAACTAGAAAAAATATAGTTGACCGTGTCTATGACTATGGAACAGACTATCACTTTAAGTTGTCATATTACCATGTTAATTTATGCAAAATTTCAGCACTGTGTTCTGTAAGAAAATTTCACACTTTTTTACATATAGCCAAACTACTGTTGAAGGTGTATGACAGCTACCAGAAGGAGCCAAGCAAATTCAACGACTTTTATCAAACACATTGACCCTACTGACATATTTGCTTGTGTGAAATTTCAATATCACAGCTTTTATAGTTTCTGAGATATAGCCAAATAAATTTTGAAGTTGTATGGCAGCTACTCGAACCAGTACCCCGATCATATCCAATTTAAATAGTTTAATAGGTTGTGGCATTTATTATAATAAATCATTTGTGAAAATTTGGTGAACTTAGCTTAATTAGTTTTTGAGTTATCGTTGGGGCGGGCGGACGGACAGACAAAGTTAAATCGACTCAGAAATCGACGCTGGTCAAAAACATACACTTGAGTCTATATCTCAGACCATTATTTCTTAGCGTTACAAACGGTAAGGCAAATTTAGTATACCCTTCGAACATACGTTCTTACGACTCGAACAAAACATTGTCAATTCTCTCGAACAAAACCATAAAATTTTCTTTATTCTACGAATTGGTTTGAAATTGTTTGAAGAAACACATAAATTCAGCATTACGATAGCACACAATTTCAGAGTTCGAAACTTTTTGATAGAGTGTGCATCTTGTCTCTTGTATCAAAGAAAAATTGACATTTGCTTATCCTTATGTATACATACATTATATTTAAATTTAAAATAATGTTTAAACCGGAATATTTATACAAAAAGAATTTTAAAAAATAAATTAAACTTAATCAACTTAAAATTCAATTTCTGTGAATTATTCACGATCCATAAAAACAGAATTCATAATCTATTAAGGTTCCTATTAAGCTAAAATCCTTACAAGAGATTATAAAATAAAGCGTTTTATAATTATTTTATAATGTTCGAAACCGTTTTAAACGAAATTTCATTCCTTTTCCAAAAATCCCTATATATAATTTTTTACAAATTTATATAAATTACTCACTATATTTTTATTTTTAAAATACATCTTTTTACATTTTTTTACATATTGATTTACTTTTTGCAAAAAAAAAAAATTTTCGTGAAAATAAAAAATTAAGGAAAAATCCAAGGAAACTAATTCACCAGAAGTAAGTAGTTCAACCTAAATCAGAAATTTCACAAATTTTTTTATTTATTTACTACGTATTTCTGCATTGGTTTATTAATTTTTTTATAAATTGAAATAAATGTGAAAATTTTGTAATTGCAATTATTTCTTTTTATCTCTTTTCTTTCCCAATTTTATTAAGTTTACTATATTTTACATAACAATTTTTCATATTTTTGTTCCTTTTGCACAATTCAAAATTAGATTTGTTGCACTTTTCATTTTGTTTTGATTTAAAATTGCATTTCAAATTAATTTTTTTAAATACAACATGATTATCAATAAAATTCACTATTTCATTTTCTATTATTTCAAATTTGTTCTTTTTTTATTTAATTTTTTGTTTTACTCGCGTTGCTTATCAGAACATATTATTGTTTGCTTAATTTTCATAAAATATTAATATAATAATATATGTAAGTTGACAAAAAAGAAATAAAGAAATTAACAAATATTTAAATTGTATATATAAAACAAAATTAATAAAAAGTGACACACACTGTATTCAAAGTGCACAAATACAATGTAATAATATAATTACAGATACAAACGCAAAAAATAGAAGTTAAGGCACAAAGTAAGATCGGATCAATGGACAATGTTAAACACAAACCAGGTGGAGGCGATAAAAAAATTTTTGACGATAAGGAATATTTAAAAAATATTGAGCACCATGTTGCACTTACACAACCGTCACAGGTAAAAAATACTAACAAAATAACAAAATGTATTAATAAGACAAATCATAATAATAATAAGAATAATCACAATAATAAAAAATGTAATAAATTAATGGTAATTATTTATATATACGAGTACTAAAAATAAATATTTTCGAAAAATTAATAATGAACTATTGAGTAAACCAGCACAAAATGTTTATGAAATTCTTATATATCAAATACATACTAATTCATATGCTTATTGCAAAGTACTTTTAATTAATAAATTTTCAACAGAACTCACCTCGTTTAGCGATTCAAATACAAAAACACTAAAAATCACATGATAAAAATTCAAAAATCATAATTATAATTTTTATTTCCAATAACTTTTACTTAATTGTTCTTTTGTATTTACAATATTTTTACAACAATTAAATATAAATAATTATACACGAATGTAGATTTAAACTACTGCAAGTACTATTTACGGTTTATTTTAAATACATATTTATTTATTTTTTGCATATGCATATTATTTCAATAAATGTATATAAATAAAGTATGTATAATGATATAAATGTGTAATGAATAAAGTTTATTTACTTACTTACATATACAGGGTGTTTCGCATAAGGTGGCAAAATCAAGAGATCATCCAGGAAATTATTTGCCACCTTATGGGAAACAGCCTGTATAGATATCATGGGTATGCATATGCATATAGGTACATTTATGTGTATGGGCTGATGTATTCTTTGTATAGACTGGTGCGTTCTTTATATAGGCTAGTTGCATTTGGCAACATAAATTTAGGACGTTATATTTCTGCAAATATTGCCCATTTCGCAAAAGCCTTTAATGAGCCTTTAAAAGCTCACTTCTAATACTACCTTGGTGGATAACATAGTCAAAGTTCATGAAAGATTGAAATTATCCTTATATAATACATAATATATTAGTATGTATTAAAAATTGTGACAGAAACAGTATATTATTTTTAAATTACATATAAAATGTAGTACTCGTAATATGACAATTCAATTAAATTTCAAAACGCAACATTCTATTCTGATCTTACATTAGCAGCCTAATCGTGTATCTAGGTTTCTTATCTCACTTTTTATTCACTATCAAATCAGAATTCTTCTTTTGTCTAATGGATATTTCCATTTTGCAGTAAGATTAGTCATTTTTATACCCTGCACTTCGTGAAGGGTATATTAACTTTGGTATGGAGTTTGTAACTACTTGAAGGAGTCATCTGCGGTATGGACATATATATATATTCTTGCTCAGCGTAAAATTCTGCGTCGATTTAGACATGTCCGTCCGTCCGTCCGTCCGTCCGTCCGTCCGTCCGTCCGATCGCACGATAACTCAAAAACGAATAATGCTATCGACACCAAACTTGCACAAGTTTTTTTTTTTGTGCAAAGGACGAACCCTATTGTTATTGGACTAATTCGGACAACGGGTTCGGGTAGCTGCCATACAACTCAAGGAGTTTATTTTAAATATTTCGAAAACTAATAAAGCTATTAATATAAAATTTTGTATACATGTGTCCAATTATATTCTACACATGCTCTAAAAATTATAATGGGATAGCTGCACCGGTTCGGGTGGCTGCCATACAACTCCAACAGCAAATTTTTTATATTTGGCAAAATAATAAAGTCAGATTCGTGAAACTTGGTAGCCATGTGTCCAATTATAGGTCAAATGTATTTCTGAAGTTTTAGAAGAATTGCTTGACAGGTTCGGGTACCTGCCATACAACTCCAGAAGCTAATTTTAAATATTTGGAAAAACAATAAAGTGAGATTCATGAAACTTGGCAGTTGTATGTCCGATTGTAGATCAGATATATTTGTGAAGTTTTAGTGGAATTGCTTGACAGGTTCGGGTACTTGCCATACAACTCCAAAAGCTTATTTTAAATATTTGGAAAAATAATAAAGTCAGATTCATGAAACTTGGCAGTTGTATGTCGAGTTATAGGTCAGACATATCCGTGAAGTTTCTATAGAATGACTTCACGGGTTCGTGTAATTGCTACATAATAACGAAAGGTGCAGGGTATAATTCAATCGGTTTATACCGACTGAAACGTTTTTACTTGTTTCAATTGCATTTTTGCATTTTTTCTCAAATTATCGAATAAACGTCCCACCTTCTAAAACAAAGTGAAGAAATGTATGCGTTTTAGAAAAAACGAAAATTACAATATATAAATATATGATATTTAATCGCTTTTTTTTAACTTAGCAAGTAAAATAGCGAGATACGCGATCACAAGGTCTAAGTATGAAATGTTAAACCTTATGTATCTACCACATTACTGCATTTTGAAACTAAATAAAACTATACTTCTTTCACAATAAGTATTTTTATTTGATTTTAATTTTTTCTTTTTATTTAAAAAAAATAAATGTATTTATATATAATAATTCTGTCTATAGTAAATTCTTGAATATTCCTTCAAAGAAAAATGTAAGTCAATGAGAAATGTTTCATACATGGTTTTTATACTAATTAAAAATAAGTTATCCAATAACAATTAATTTAAAAATCATTCAATACTTTACAATAACAATTAATTTAAAAATCATTCAATACTTTAATGATCTATTTTGATCTTAAACAAAGTTTAACTCATATTAAAATAATTAACATTATTGTTAATGCAATTAGACACAGGAATAAATATAAAAAATGTATAATAATATTAAGATATTTATTCTACTTAAAACTGCTCATAGATTAAAACTCAAAAATACCTTCCTTTCCTATAAAATATTATGTGTTCCTAAATTTATAAACATAATACTATGTTCACTTCATTTTCCCAATAAATACTAACTAATTGTTATACCCCTTTTTCACATTTAGGGCTCAGATAGACATCCAAATTTTAATTTTGTAATTATTGCTTGATTGCGCTTACATCTAAGCCGGTAAACTATCACGTCAATGCAAATCGATTATATTAACTAAAAATTGCATGATATCTGAGGCCTGTAATTATGAGTTCTAATACTCATAATACCTTAGTCAAAAGTTCAGAATGTGTGTACATATTGCAAATGTATACATATTATACATATTATATCAATTTTTATAAAGGCAAGTAGAAAAATAAAAGTAATTACATAATATTATAACGTTTTATTTACACCCTGTACATCATTTTGTTACTATGTGTACTAATCCAAAAGACTATTCTTTAAATTATTTTTTTGTTAAAAAAATTTCACTTACAACTGCAAAAAATTTCTCAAAACAGAGTCCAGTGCCATCGGTCAATGAAATGACAGAGTCATCAGGTACTGATGAAAATCTTAACAAACAACAACAAAGTTAAATTTTTTGCAACAACAGAATAATATTTATATAAATATATTTGTATAATCCAAAATTAAATAAAAACATTTTTTAATTACTAATTAAAATATTTTTTTATATTAAGAAGAAAAATAAATATTATACAAAAATTTTATCATTGATGTTTTGAATATTAAAAAACAAAATTTTTAAGAAAACAAATAATATATGAGGATTAAAAAAGATTAAAAGTTACATTTATTTCTTGTTTGTATTTTTCTTTAATAAATAAAAATAAATTTTTATCACGTTTAAATTTGAGTAATATAATTTTTGCTATTTTCATTATTTTGTGAAATTATTATTTTTGTAACAGTAAAAAATTTTTTGTATTAGAAATTAAAGAAAAACAAAACCCTTACTTAACATTTTCTTTTTTTTATCACTTTAGTCTATGCATATTTTTTTCATTTTGAATCTTTCAAATAATTATATACAAAATTTTTTACACAAAAATATGCAATTTAAATAATTCCAATTGCGCACTTCTAAAGAAGAAATTACAAAGAAATTTTAAGAAAAAGAAATTAATCTTAGGTAATTTTTTCCTTTTTCAAAATTTTTTGTTTTAATTTTTGTCTTATCCTTGATAAAAGCAAAAAGCTACGTCATATGTATATTTATAAATATTAATAAAGATATTTACATACTGATGCTACAAAATTTAAAATGAAAAAAAATTTGTAAATTTTAAAAATTTAAAAACGAAAGATTCACAAAAATAACAAAACATTTTACGAATTATTTATGTATTTTATGATTACAATATACATTTGTAATAAAATATATAAATATAACATAAGTATAAAGGTTATGTTTATATATTTTAAAAATATATAAATATTAATATTTTATATATATGTATATGATATAACATGTGTATCTAAATTATGAAAAATTAATAAATCTAAATATTAAAAGTAATTTCAAGAAGATTGATCAAATATTTCTATGAAACTCAATGATAAATCACTTTTTAATGTTTAGTATGACTAAAAATATTAAATTTTATTGAAATCATTTAACATAAACACTACATTTGTAAAATTTTTATTAGTATCATGAACAATACAAGTAGTCTTATAGTAAAAGGATATATATTTATAATAAACATGTATTCATACGTAATGTATTTCTATGCACAGAAACCAAAAAGCCATTTAATATAAGATCTACATGTACCCAACCAGGTACATGTTGAATTTTTGAAAAATTGTATTGTTATAGATTGCAAAATTAATAGAAAAATATGGCATACCTACATATATATGTACACAGGGTTTTTCGCATAAGGTGGCAAATAATTTCAGGAATAATTCTATGCTCAATTTTCAGCAAAAAATTTAAATAATTTAAATAAACGGTTATAACTTCGGTGCCACGCGAGATAGAATTACCATCGGTGGCTTGCTTTACAGGCAATTAATTGTCCCTCCCCCACCCACATAATTTTTTGCTGGAAGTTGATCAAAGGGTCATCTCTGAAATTATTTGCCACCTTATGCGAAGCACCCGGTATATATTTTAGTATAAAGTAATTTATGTATTTTATTGAATAACGTTGTTCTTTATACATGATCATTAAACGTCATTACTATTATCATTATTATTATTATTATTATTATTATTATTATTATTATTATTATTAAAAATTTAAAGTATAATAAGCTAAATAAAAAAAATTTTTTTATATAATTTGATATTATATATATACATAAAAATATACACACAATAAATATAAACATAAATATAATTGACATTTAAAATACAAATTCATTGAACTTAAAAAAAAAAATTAAAACAGTATATGTACATATATCATTGTTTGTATTCCTAAAAAGTATGCACAAATACTTAAACGAAGTTTATATTTATGTGTTAAAAAATATAATGACACTAAAATGCAGAACTGCATGAATACTGTTTTCGGTGCATCACCCGTACTACTTTTTTTATATATACAACATTATATAACTTTGTTTTGTAATTTCACACTTTTATTAAACAAAATATTATTTAATAGTTTTTAATATATTAATAAAAGATAAGATACAAATAATTAAATTAAATAATAAATGCAGTTGAATTCTTACGTCTAATCAAATAAAGATTCACAAATTTAATGACATTAATAATTCTACACCAATTATTATGAATCTCGTATTTCCGAAATTTGTATATGTACATTAAAAAGTACACCTAATCTTTTATATTTTATAGCATATACACATTTCAATTCATATATTAATATTTTATATCTAATTATGTTATACTATTTCAAAATTCCAATTTATTTTTCACTAATTTTCATTGAGGCTATATCTTTAATTGAAATAAAGATATAACATAGATTCATGCGGGTGAAAAAAAATACATATTTAAAAAACATTAATTGCTTTGATTAAATTTAATTAAATTCCATAATATATGGTTATTGCAAATGTATAGAAATACATAAAACGACATAAGTCGCGTCCTTAATTACCTAATAAAAGTACATATTTTTAATTATTATTTTCAAATAATATGTTTTTGGAAAGAAGTATTCAACAGTCATTTTTATAATTTTCTGTAACACTTTCACTTAACTAGACAATACATATTACGGTCGATTATGTCATTAATTACCACATCATTTTCTTTTTGTGTTTTATATCAAAAATTGCATGCTTTGTTTATACCAAAGGCAATTTGGAAATGAAATATATTCGTATATGAATGGAAATAGTTTTAATAATATGTAGTATTACATCGCTAGATTATTTTTAGAAGCAGTATTTTCACTTGTTGAAGGGGAAAGTACTACATTGCAAACAATTGGTTTGATTCAACTTTATTCATATTTGAATTGAGCATTGCTTTCTAATACCATACATTAAAAAAATTAAAATTGATCGGCATTATTTTTTATAACATATTATAAATTTGAAAATAATAAAAAACTTGAAATAAAATACATCTCTTTTTTTTTTAATATTTTAATTTTAATTGGAATTAAAATATTAACAAATATTTAGATATAAAATGAAATATTTAATATTTCAATAAGGCACAATATTTTGAAAAAAAATTTGTTAAATACATATGCACATTTACGTATACATATATATGTATGTAATAAATCTTTTCTTTTCCTTGGCTTTGTTAGTTTTTTTGCTTATCTATATTCTACATAGCAATGTAGAAATATTTTGCTTGAATAATAAAATCCGGCAATTAAATTTAATTAAGCGCTTAAAAAATATAGTATTAGTTAATATATAATAATTATGTACGTATAAGTACAAAATTTTTAATTGCAAAAGCGTAAAAATGGCAAAAAATATTGAAAAATCTAGGAACTTTGAATTTCATTAATTGGAAGATAATCAAAAATGTAGTTTAAATATCAAAAACCATACATACATATATATAAAAAGAAAATAAATATAAAATATCACTGAAACTGATATATATATTTGAGATTAAAAAAATATTTTTTTCTTCCTCTTAAATATAATAGCCTTTATATTTTTATTTGTAAAATGATCACAATAAATTTGCAAAAACAAATTTGGATATACAATTGCAAAGTAAGAAATAAATAAGCAATAATTAAATTTGAGTATGTTGCTTTTAAAATTTAGTATATATGTACATACATACATATATTCAATAATGTTAATATAAGTTTATTTATGTTATATCAACTTTTTTATTTTTTTATTTTTTTATATAACACACAAAGTTGTATGTTTAAAAACAGAAAAATAACTCTAATAAATATTTAACAAAATATATTAAAGAAAAAATATTTTAAATAAGTAATAATAGAATATTATGACAAAAAGACACAACAGTAATAAAAACAAAACTATTATAAAAATTTAAAAAGCTTTTTTATTCTTGTTTTTTCGAAAATAAAGCTCAAAAAATAAACCTGAAGTACATAAATTTTAGGTTTGTCTAGTATAAATTTTGGAAAAACTTTAAAAGGAGAAAACAGGGTAGTAATTTCTCGCAAAAAAAATTCTCATCTCAAAAAAAATACTATACCGAAATATTGAAAAAACTTTTAAGAACTTTATAAAAACATATGTTCGATATAAAAATTTCAAAATATTTATCAAACATAAACAAATATTTTTTGGTTATACAAAAAAACTGAAAATTTTGATTTTGTATTATAAAAGTGTGAATCCATTCGGTATTTATTAACCCGTACGAACGTATTTTCGAAGGGTATACTAAATTTGCCTTACCGTTTGTAAAACTAAGAAATAATGGTCTGAGATATATACTCAAGTGTATGTTTTTGACCACCGTCGTATTCTGGGTCGATTTAGCTTTGTCTGTCCGTCCTTCCGTCCCAACGATAACTTAAAAACTAATTGAACAGAGTTCACCAAATTTTCACAAATGATTTATTACAATAAATTTCAGAAACCTATTTAAATTGGATATGATCGAGGTATTGTTCGGTACTGAAAATAAATTATATGGTACTATGGCAACTTAAAATCACAGTCTATCCCATAGTCAGCTACGGCATATTTATTCGCACATATGATAACAAATTCGTACGGATATCACAGGGTTGGCACGGTCAATTATATTTTTTCTCCTTCTTTTTTTTAGTTAAAAAGTTTTGAAAAACAATTATTGTTTGTTAAAAATTTTTTTTTTTAAAAACCTTAAATAATTAAGAAAAACATATTTTGACAGCTTAAAGATTTTAAAAGTTTCACTAAATTTTACTTTAGAATACTGGAAGAAAACTTAAACATTGAGAAAATGAAGACGTCATCATTTTCTCTCATTTTTGTTCAAAAAATATTATACTTCGCATACAAGAAATTTAGAAAATTTTTCAAATTTTATAAAAATTTTAAAAACTTTCTTACACCACACAAACATTTTTTACATACATACATATGTATGTAAATATTGTGAATTATTTTTAAACATTTTATGTGTATGAAATTTTCTTCAGGCAAAGGACAACAAAGGAATAACTGCAAAGTAAATGTGTAATGAAGTTTATTTTTATTGTTGCTATTGTTAAAAATAAAAGTAACAAAACAAGTTGCGTACTACATATTATTATAAAACAAAAGGATACATACATACATATGTTCATATGTGTGTGTCTACAGGTTTGTATTCGGAGACATTCAATTTGAAACCTTAAAAAAACCTTTAAATAAATAAATTTAAATATACATAATGTGTACATAAAGTAACAGCTAGTACAATAAATGCTTTTAATAGTCTTACTTCAACATAAAATTGCTTTCAAATCAAAACCCACTTAAATCCATATTTGCAAAACAAATTTTTTTTTTTCATTGATTTATATACATACATATGTATGTTCCTAAATATATAGGTACGTAAATATTCTTAATATTTTTGCACAGCTTTTCATTAGACTTTGGTAAGTAGTGGTATTTTTATAATAAGCATTTTTTTCACAAAACATATTTTAGAACTAAATTATTTACACTAGCTATAAATAAGTATGTATATACATATGTATATACAGATATTATAAGAACCACAATAAAATAATTGAAGAAAATAAAAATATACATATGTATGTACGTATGTACATATTATATACTTCATTTTTTTACAACAGTTTATTATTTACTTCAGTTTATATTTTTAATTTTTTCTTTGAACAAATTCATACAAATGAAAGGATCCAAATGTGTTTTAAAAATAATTTACAAATTGAAAAACGTAATTAAATAAAAATTATATAAATTTTCAATATAATAAATTAGTACTATAAAGCACCCAGTTCAATGCCGAGATCTCAGACCATAACATCAGAAATGTCTTTACCAGCTGAATGTATAGTACTATCAGTGTCAACCCCCTCAGTTAATGGAGCGATTAGGCCAAAAAGTGCTGGAGCCAGGCTTATCAATAAAAAGAATAAGAATCAACCTTCACACGCCAAACCATTTCGTTTGTACTAAAAGGGCAACTAAAAAGGTATCACGCCATTAGAAATACAAGAAAAAATAGATATGTAATGCCGCTATACTAAAAAATGTTTCAAAAAGTTATAAGTTTCCTTTTTATATGAAACTCAATAAACAAAAAAATCTATAATTGCAACTACATGCATAAATATATGTATTTATATACATAATATGCATTTAAAAATTTAATTTTTACAAATGGATAATGAAACAATAAAAAAATATATAAAAGAAGAATTTCATTTACATACGTATGTACTACATAAAATGTAGCTAGTAGAAAAATAGCATAATTACAAATTTGAACTTTTAAAAAAATATATTATATGGCAAATATTTACACACATTAACATTATGAATGGGCTTGCAAAAACTGTTACATAATTATTTCACATTATGCGCATACATTACCATGCAACAAAAATAAAGGATAACTCAAAGAAAATTATTAAAATATTGTGATGTTAAAGTATGGTTTAATAATTGAATAATAAAAGATAATAAGTATTTAATTTTATTGAAATTGGGCAATTATAGTCAATCACTTTAAGCATGTAAATTTAAAAATAATAATTCGTATTATATTACACATTTCCTTATTAACTTAAAAATAATTTAAATTTAAAGCTGAAGCATATTAATAACTATTTAATTCTTTGTTTTTAAGTGTTTTTGAACATGAATAATACGATTTGATGAAAACATTTTTTGTTTTGAGTCAAAGATTCTAATAATTTTTTAGATTTAGAAATATTCATTAAATGTTTATGTACATACTTACACACATACGTAAGTATAAATATATTGCTTTTTACCGTAATAACAATTTATAATAAAATTTAAAAACCATTCGCATTTTGACCTTAAATTAGTAGTTAAAACAATTGCTAGAATGCTCATTGGAAATATAAATTTTTATGTATCTACTTACAAACTAGTAAAAAAATGAAAACAAAATTGAATTATAGGAAAAATTAACTATCATTAAAATTGTACACAAATAAAATCACATGCATAATAAAAAACAAATTTAAATATGTTTTTCTTTTCGAAACTGTTTAAATTTTAATATTTCAGTAGCTTAAACTATATGGTAAGTGAAATGTAGGCAATGTACAATATAGGTATTGAAGTGAAATCTATATTAAATATGTATAAGTAATCTAAAAACAACTTAGTCTTTTTCTAAAACTAATTTGTTTTTTACGGGCACTTACTGAATTATAAATAAGTATATGTAAATTTTGTAAACTGGTAACAATATTACATTGTGAATAATGAAAGTTTTTAAAAAGTGTTGATGTTTGTTGGCATCACTTGTTTATATTCACTTTATACTTTTCTATTGTGAATTGCTTATATGAATTGGATAATTATATGATAGATAAATTTTGTTGCTTAGTTTAATTTAGTATTCAGAAGAATAAGGTTTACTTTCAACTTAACAAATATTTTGTTGGCTTCACTTTAATTTAAATAACAGGAATACATTAAAGGATAAACCCAACAAAAAGCTATGCTGCGAACTAAGATTTTTGTAAAATAAAGGGAATAAAGTAATCAAAGTAATCAAAAATGTGCATTAATACAGCGCCGATGCGAAAAAATGTTGCTGATGCTATACCGATATGATGTGTTTACCTTGCTGAGGCAATATTTTACATTTGGCTTTGACAATTTCTAAATCATATGTTTTTGGCGTTTATTTTAAAAAGGTTTTAAAAAAATTATTAAAGTAACAATTGAAAATCTATTAAAAATTCTTTTTTAATTTCAAGTTTTGGAGATTTTAATATAATGGAACATTTAAAAATACTAATACCGCGCATAAAGAAATAATTAACTTTGTTAGATATTGAGTTAAAATAATAAATTATTTGCTTCTCAGCTTCCACTTAAAAAACTTTGCATCAATACAACATCGATACAAAATTGATGCACAGCTTATTTAATATGATGCGCATACAATGCATATTTTTCACATTTTTGTACACCAAACTTTATTGATGTATTTTCGTACGTGATTTTTACAAGATTACACATCGATGCTGCATCGATTACTTTCCGATTGTACACAAAATTACAGCCATATGCATCTGAAAATATTTTTCAAAACATAGACAACGAATAAGTATCTTTCCTTAACATTTCCATTACTAAAAGAAAACTTTCATATGTCACACTATCTAATGATGCATTTTATTATGCTACATTTCAGTAAAGTTTCCGTCTGAAGCCATCCTTTTTCTTTTAATTTTTAAACTTTTCTATTATTTTTTTACTACTTGAATCGCCAGACTAGCAATTTCTGAAAAAAAATTTGCAGTCGAATCGCTCTTTCATCTCACATTTTATTCACTTTCAAATAAGAATTATCCTTTTTCCTGATAGATACATCATTTTTCAATTAAGATTACTCTTTTTTTGAATAGAATTTTTTATTTTTTTTCGCCAAAAATCATTGCATTTATTGTATATTTGCTGAGTTATAAAACATAATTAAAAACAATTTTTTTTTCATAAAAACTACATGAATTTGCAAACTTATTTAATTTAAATAATACAAAATATAAACAGCAAAATAGAAAATTTTGCAGAAATTAATCTTTTATTTAATAACCAAATCTGTCATTTAAAGAAGTTCGACCATCGCCACTTTGATTTTTAGGTGGAACCCAATCAGAATGTTTTTGTGCGTCAACAAACTCTTCGTAATCGTCTATATCCACATTTTCCCGACGTAGCCGATTTCCCATTCTATTCTTTGGCCGTTTAATTGTTTGATTACTATTTGTTGTCTGCAAATCATCAAAAGTTTTTATTGTAGTTCCTTTTTCATTTTGCTTCTTTATTTTTGAAATAAATTCCGGAATAAGTTCCTGCTCCGTACTCATTTTTTTATAAACGTTATTTGAAATCTCATCACTTGATTTTTCCATTTTTGAATACTCTTCGAACTGATTTATGGTTCTATTTAGTCCCAGCATTTCTTGGATCCCAGGTGTAGAAGAAGGTCCATATAATCTTGAATTCAATTTTTCATCATGTTCGTTGTTACTATTATTGTTACTATTGTTAAGAGTTTTACTTTTAGTTTTATAAAAGTCAAAATTTTCATTATTACTAAATATTTTCTTTTCTCCGCCGTTTAAATTCTTTTCTTCTTTTATATTATTCAAATTTTCATCTTCATCAAATTCTTCCTCGTCGGATTTCAATTCTCTTGGCGGCATATTCAAGTGGTCATCTACAGATGAATTCTTTTCAATTACAAATTTAAATTTATTTCGTTTTCCAAACAAAGGCAATGAACTAGTTTTTCGATTGTTAGATATTTCATTTTTGCAAGAATTACTCAAAGCCGGTAAGTCCAACGGTTTTGCTATTTTAATCAGTTGTTTAACTTTCTGTATTTCTAATTTTAGTCTCTGTTCTTCCACCTTAAGCAATATTGGAAAAAAATATTATACCCAAACTATCACCCATATTTTGGTAGTCGTGTATGTAGAGGCTACAAGAACTATTCTTAGCTTAGACGAGATGTTATAAAAAATTAAAATTTAAAAATAATAATGGCTTGAAAAATATTCTCGTTATATACATACATAAAAGCAGAAACAATGAAATTTGGAAACAATAGTTAGATAATTACAGCGTTGTAAAAAAATATTTAGACTTCTAAAATATTTTAGTATTCCGAAAAAAGGTTTCAATACTTTACTTGAGAAACTTGAAAGCTAATACTTATTTGAATATCTCGTTAAAACTTTGACAACCTCAGGATTGTCTTGCATTCATTTTATAAAACTGTAAAATGGCTCGTGTTTGTTATTCTTTTTCCTCTGTAAAATACAACAGAGTATTCATAGTAAATCCAATTATTCATAGTAAAATTAATTAATTTTTTTTTTATTTCTAATTATTAATCAGAACCAAAGCGGAGAACGAAAAAGACCGACGATTTTCGTTATTAACTTAGATTAACAGCGGAAACAGATAAAAAAAATAAGATTTCAGGCTGCACTAAACTAATTTTACACATTTAATCTATAAAATCTTAACATGATGGTCTATCGAAAGCAAATATTGAGGTGATTTTCGCATTTACAATCACGTCCCGTTTGGTGCCACTCCAACTATCTATGTCTACCAGAATAAGAATCAGATCTAATGACATCACTTCATGCGATGTTTTCATGCGATACAACCACCGTAATATAGGTGAAATTTGTTTGCAATATATTAATAAATTACAAAAAATTTTACCCGAAGTCTTCTTATTTCTGTTTTATCAACCATATGATATTTTTTAGCTAAGTTTTCCATGTAGTTATCCAGGTCATCATCCGATTCCGCTTTCGCTTCTTTTGATTTTTTACAATTTTCGTGATATAAAGCTATTTCGCTTTCTATTTCCTTTAGTTTAAGATTAAATTCCCCTTCTTGCTTTATCTAAATAAAAGCAAAATTAACAAATTTAATGGCAGAAAATTTGAGCCGTACTAAATCATCATATGTCAAAGTAATAGTTTTCCCTGCTGCTGTCTTTTTCATTTTTTTCCTTTGTATATCACCCGTGCGATCAAGAAAATCATCCTCACCATCCGAATCTGCTTCTAAAGCTCTTCTTTTCAACGGTTCTAATTTGAAAATTAAATAATATTATGAAAATAAGTATGGTGGTTATTAAAATATTAACAAAAAGAATTTGCAAAATTACCATGATGTGATTGACGTAAAACTCCATAACGATCTAAGATACGACAAGCTTCTAGAGCACATTGTGCAACACATTCCTTTTTTTTACCTTTATGACATACTTCAGCCGTAATTTGCTTGCCATTTGCATCATCAATTGGAAGATCGATACGACATACAAATGTTCCAGGTGACATTTCATCGCACTTATAATCAAGATTTACCCCTTCCCTTTCAAAAAATCCTCTTAATGTTTTTTTTGGATCATCAAAGAATAGTTCTTCATTATTTGTTGTCGCATATGGATTTATACTTAAATCTGTTTCCTCATCTGCGTCCTCTGTCATGCCCCATGAAATTCCTTCTTTTTCTCTTTGCTCCTCTTGCATTTGCTCTTCGTTTGCCTTTAACTCATCTTCATGCTTTTTTTTCTCCTTCAACTCGGTTACAGTAAACTCAGATTCTGCTTCTTCATCATATGCTGGGCCTTGCAAAATGTATGATCGTAAACTGGCTCCAAATTTTAATATATGTCCAACCCGCACTCGTATATATGTTTTTGGTGGCACTCTCATTTTATTTAAAAATGTACCATGTGTACTTCCCAAATCATAAATATACCACCCAGAATCGATTTTGTCATTTTCATTCGCGTTTTGAATATTTATCCGAAATTGAAAGACTGCATGAAAGCGTGATATGGTAGGGTGTGCCATTGCGATATCGTTTTGTTCGAGTCGTCCTATAACCCAATATCTCCTTGTTTGAAGGTTTCTTATTTCTTCAAGTATTGTACCACATTTAATAATTTCAAACTTATATTCATCATCCTGATTCAATGGTTTTCCTGACCACTTGGGCTCTCGGTAAGAACATTCAATTTCATTGCAATTCAAATTGATGGCATTTCTTACAGACAACACTATTTTTTCCTTTACTAATTTCAAAGATGTGTTCGTATGCGAAATCCCCGGTATATTTTGTTCTTTAGGCTCTTCTTCAATTGAGGATGATTTTGAAAATATTTTGGAAGGAAAACTTGGCTTTTTAAATTCCTCCATCAAGCAATTATTTTACAAGTTTTAAAGAAATTCAAAACAAACAACAAAAATTTCCCTTGTTTTGTTTTTCATGTGTTTTCCTTTTACCCTGTCAATTGTTTTCTTTCATCGCTGACAGAAATACCTTGTAATGTACATATGTCAAAAATACTTTTAAAATATATCAAAGAGAAGAAAACCAGCTTTGGTAAAGAGCGTATGTAACGCACGAAATATATTAGCAAAAATAAAAAGTATTTTATTTTGAATAAAAGGGAGTTTTCTTTTCATACTCCTAAAAACAATTATCAATCAAAGAAGAATACTTTTAAAAGTTTTGTAATGTCAAGTCTTCCTCACATTTGAAAACAGCTTCTCGAAAACGTCAAATTTTTGTAAAACGTGACAATTTGCAATTTTTTGAGACATATTGCCAAATAGAAAATGCAAAATTACCCGTGAAATTAATGTTATATATAATTGGATTTTCATATAACTCTAGAATTAACAAAAAGCATATGTTCGAATAACAATTATTGTACATTTTCTTTACTTTTAAAACAGTAAATATTTTAATTAAGGGCCTGATCGTCTATCTCGCTATTTTACTTGACAAGTAAGAAGAAAGTAAGTAAATATTATATGTACACTTGTATAATTTAATTTAATCAAAAATCCAATTGAAAAAACGAGTAATCTTATTAAGAAGACAAAATACGAGTATCCATTACAAAAACGGATAATTCTGATTGGAAAGTGAATAAAAAGTGAGCAAAAAAAACCTTGACGTTACAAAAAATCATGGCCTGGACAAAATTGCATACGTTTGTATTTTTGGCGAAATGACATTTCTGAAGAACAATTTTTTTTGTTTTTTTTTTGAAAAAGTCATGATTTTTGTCTATTTTGATGACTTTTCATTTCAGATTTCTATACGAAAAATTGACTAAAATCTAAAAATTTTTATATTAAAATGAAATTTCAAGTTTTCTGAACAACATATCAAAGATTCAAATTTTTATTCAAAATTTTAACTATAATTTTGATTAAATGTATTTTCGAATTTTTTCCGCATTTTTTTGTACCACCATGTCAGGCAACATATCTGAGGGAGTAAAATAACACCGAATAAAAAAAAATTGGTGGTTTATACACGGCTTAAAATAAAGTTGATCAAAATTTTAATAGGTCTAAATTATGAATTTAAGTTTGTAATCATTTTACTTTAAGTCTTACAATTATGATAGTGCTTTTAATATTTTATTATCATTATAAAAAATGCTTCGTTTCAAGTTGTCCCCTATATAAAAACAAACATAATAAAAATATTATAAAGAATTAGTCTTATTAACAATGTGAAAATATTTCATAATAAAATCAAAACCACATAATATACCTAAAAAAAATTATATGGACTCTTAATATAAAAAGAATTCACAAATGTATGCAATAATTTTTATGAGTTATGAGAGAGTATTTAATTCATATGAAGGATATAAATTTAATTAATAATATAGTATGCACATGAAAATTATATAGATATATGCAGTGCTCGAAGTGAGGCGGGATTGAGTGGGATGCCATCCCAGTACTTTTAAATAATATAGTTTTTTAAAATTTAAGAAAATTTTCTAACGAATTTTAAAAATTTTTTTAACCAAAAATTAAATACATACATATATGTAATTTTAAATAAGACCAATTTCAAATAGTAACGTATAATTTTTTTCTATTAATGAAATTTTCGTTACTACATAGTAGTCTATGCATTTCTTTGGTAACAATTTGCACAGTTTTTGATTCAATTTGTAGTTGATTTAATTTTGAATATAAATATTCCCGTTAGTTTACTTCCAAAGTTTGGTAAATTTTGTTTAGTTATTTTTTTAAAAAATAACTAAAATAATACTTTTTTTTTTTATTTTTTTACCATCCCACCACTTTGAGTATCCCACTTCGACCACTGTTAAACAAAACTTTAAGAATGTAAGCAATAGTAAAGTAGAAAAGGATTGAATTTTTTCTTTTTCGTGTGAATTCGTCAGCTGTGAACTCCCACTTTCTCTTGGGGTTCAGGCCTGTATTTCTGTCTGCCATTTTAAAAACTGAATTTGAAAGAAGATTTTTAAATTTTATAGATGTCAAAATGAATTTAACCAATTTACACACATATTTGTGTGAACAACTGTTTTCAATATAAAAAAATAATAAAACGGCTAAATGATCAAAATTAACAGATGAAATGTGGCTACGCACCCTCAATGAGCGTGGCTCTTATTACCGATGTCGATTCCATAAGTGCAGTGAGGCAGCTCCAGAATAGGTTGGATGTAGTTCGGGCCGACTGAAGCGCCAACAACATCGCCCTGCTGTCTTTATAATAGAAAAAATAATATATTTTGTTTTTCTATTATAATTTTTCTATTATAATATATTAGATTCTAAACTAAAATTAATTTCGTCGGGCTCAGCAATATGGTTTCTGCTATACTGTGGCAAGAAGAACATTTTATCATTTAACTTACAACTACAAAAATTTTTAATTTAGTTTTAATTGTATTTATTATAATTAAAATAACTTGAAATCACTAGTTTATTGTATAGTTATTATTCTTAAACTTGCTTATATATTAATATTCTTAAACTTTAATTTATATATTTAATTAACACTAAAATCAATTCTTTTTTATATTTTTTCTCCTAAATTTTCCAAGCTTACTTCCCTATAAAAGAAAAATTTACAGAAAAGAAAAAAAGAAAAATGTACAACGGCGGCAGCAATGTACCGTGACGTATAAGGATTTATAATGCGCCCCTCTACGAGTGCGGGACATGCCTTACAACGCAAGCTTGAGACCGCACTTCTTGATAAGCTCAAGCTACGTGTAAGGCCTGTAAGACCGCAACTCCGCCGCCGTGAGAGAAAATCCCCCCAGCACTTTCCTCCTCCTATGAGCAAGAGCATCACACTCGTCCAGAAGGACCGAGGTTTTCCAATCCTCCCCACAGGATATGCAAGTGTCCTCCAGTTCCAGAATCAGTCGACTGATGCGTCCCTTAAGTCGGCAGTCACCAGGCAAGACTCCGGTGAGGATTCTCACCCGATTCTTTATCATCCTCATAATTTTTTTAAGTCGCTTCTGGTCATAATCTCCTAGCAGGTCCTTGGAGTGTCGCAGCTCCGGAAGGATGACTGCTTTCTCTCTAATTCCTTCCTTAATTCCCAATGCATGGTATGTGGTTAAAATTCTGCAGAAGGGTTCCGGCCCAAAAAGAGATGTATTTGCCCCCCGCCTCGCCAGCGCACCAGCTGCTTCATTTCCCTTCACGCCCACATGGCTCGGCACTTACTACAGAGTGACCCGGTTGCGCCTGCACAATTCATTACGCTTTTCAAGACGAGTCAGCTCTCCGATAGCAGCCCCATTATCCGGGGTAATAATTATCTCCTGTCCCCGAAATCCCCTCCCCTTTCCAGGCTGAACCGCATGCAGAATTCAATGGCGTGCAACTCGGCCCGAACCCCATTTGCAAAAGTTCTCAAAGGTTCGGAGACTTTGGTTCATGGCACAAACACTTCCGCACCAGTCCCTATACTGCTTTTTGACCCATCAGCGTAACATGTGATGATGTGTGCTCCCACTGCGCGATCTGATGAGTCACGCTTCCAGTCCGTCTTGTAGCTTAACAACAAGATAAAATTTTTCTTAAAGCAGCACCTCCTTACCATGTCCTCCCTAGGCATCGATAGGAGCGGCACCTCCCCGGTAGAACGATACCGCTCCCTCGCTCCGACCATTTCGACCCCATTTTCTCCCGACCTAAAAATGGCAGCCTTCGCTGCCATCCCGACAACTAGGTGCAAAGGGGTTAGTCCCAAAATCACCTCCATTGCCGCAGTTGGATAAGTCCTTATAACATCCTTGCCAGAACAGCCAAAGCTGCTCTAATATGGTGGACGCTCACCTGGGAGACCATGGTACCTTCATCCCTTATTGCTTCAGCTGACTGGCAGGGTGATCTTCTCCGCCATCGGGCCGTTGTTTTCTGGGACCATCGTAGTTTCACTTTCCCCCTCGGCAGGCATTTCTTTTTTGGGACCTCCAGCCGGTTTTCCGAAGATTTTCTCGGCTCCGCTTTTTCGGGCTGCTCCATTCTGAGACCGTGTACAGAGACTTTCCCGAAGCGGTACTCCAGAATGAGACCGCCCCCTTGATGGCCTCCGCGGAAGATTTGCCTATCCCTATTCGGAGAACCTTTCCGTTTCCTTCCTGCCGCTGCCCCATCAGCTTCCAGACCCAGGTGTGAAATCCCCTGTTCTATGCCTGGAAGATCGCCAACGTTTTTTCCCATTCTTGACCCTCGTTCCTGGGGAAAAAGGAGGTGATTACATAAGGCTTGGGGTGGTCATCGCCCCTCTTTGCTACCAATTCCAGCCCGCTACATGTATCCAGAACTGATGCCCGTTTGGTCAGTCATTCCGCCTCCACATCAGCGCAGTCGGCGAGTACCATCCCGGGCTTGAAGTGTATTCCTTCAAATTGGATGATGTTTTGCCAGCTCTTGACTACCTCGCCGATTATCGCCTCCTCCAGCTAGGTAAGATTCTGCTGGAAGGGTATTCCCTTAACAAAACTGCCACCTTAACTGTGGAGGATAGAGGGTGCATTCCCATATTCCTTCGTTTGGCCTGCTTTTCTTGAGCTGTCAAAAACTCTCTCCCCTCTTCCTATCCCCTGGGATAGTGGAGATACGTTTCCAGCAGGCCTCTTTTTTTCTTTAACCAGTTTTCTGGCCTCGTCAGGTAATTTTCCCTACCCCAGGAACCATGGAGCAGGGAAACATTACTAAAAAAGTAATATTTTTTATGTTGGAAACAATGTTATTATAAAAAATTTAAACAAAAATGCATAATCGTATATGTATATATAAAAAATTTAAGGTGGTCACATTGTAATAACCATTACTTCATTCTTTTGATAAAAGTAATTTTAATTCTAACAACTCGTATCGATTTCGGAAGTCAGTTAAACAGACGACAATAACAAATTGTATCATAAAAATTGTAATAAGATAAATAATCTTCAAGGATCTTAAATGAAGACCTTTTAATTAATTTACCATATAAGCCAT